GGAATCGCACTCCTTACCGAAGGTACGGGGTTGTCGAAGACTCAAGCCGCAACATCGTCCAAGAGCTGATGCCATCTTATTCGACCATAACCGCTGCTTTTGTGACTTGTTCGCGGGAAGTAACGAACAATGGGATGTACAGTCCTGTCGCTTGCCTAAGCAACAGCAGCTCATTCGTTTACGTGCTAACTGGCTGGTTCGCTAATTATATCAAGAGTCTCGAGCCTTCTTGTGGGTACCTGGCCATGACTCCTGTGGCGAGTGCCTGGCTACATCCGAATGCAAGCTATGCGGATGTCGTCAAACTAATGAGAGGTGGATTCGCCATTCAGTTTCCTGACACAATTAATCTGTACTCCAGTTTCAAAGAGTGCATGGCAGAGTTACTTCAGTAAGTTTTCAACATCGATCATTTGTGAAATCATTACAGTACTATTTCTCAATTTAACTAACATATATATGGCCTTCTCTTATAACTGCTGGATGCATGCATCTTAAATTCATATTGTGTGTACTCTGCAGAGACATCCGTGACGGTGACCAACCCAAGTCTAGTGAACGCAACCAGTATAGGATTGAGCTAGTTTCGTTAATTGAATATGGTATCTTGCAATGTGCAACTCAAGGCTCTAGACCAACTAGAGCTGTGATGGCTATCCAATTGTTCATTCGCAGAACACCAATTGCCGTTTGGACTTTGAAGTGTATTGCTGGTAAATTAAGAACCCCCCCCCCCCCCACCCCAATATGCTTAAACAAATGATCCTCCTATAAGGCGTCACATCACCAAATTAAATCACTCCTAGCCACCACTGGATTGTACATGTCCAATCTCAGATTATATAACTTCTTTGTATCCTTAGCTTTGCTGTACTTGGTGTCAATGGCCATTGTTTTGGAGCTTGCAAAGACACACTTATCTGAACGTTGTGTTGTTGTGCTTTAATTTTACGACTCATACTGCTCGATATTGCTCTTCCCGTTAAAATGTCCTTTTGTGTGTGTATTGTTGCCGTAGCAATATTTTCCATACTCTGTTTTACATTATTTTAAGCTATATTTCCCTTGTTAAAATTTTTACAAAAGCGGCAATTACTTGGATATAACATGTTGCTCAAATGCTAACTGGTAGCTAATTAGGCTAGTGTCACAGTAACAATTAATGTGTGACTGAGGAATTATATATTTACAAAATATGCATCACTACAACTAGGTAGATGCTGCATCAAGGCACCAACCATTTAAAGTTTAAGCACATTCTTGTTATACCAATGAACTATCTGTAAACTTCCCTTTTATGCAGTATCCTGCAGGTTCATTTTGCCGCCCTTAGTAGTATTGACCTTTCTGGTGCACAAGTATTGGAAGAGGAGGATGATAATCGATGCAGTCGAGAAGTTTCTCCGGATGCAACTGATGATTGGTCCGACGAGGTATGCCTACACTGAACAGGGCATTTCAGGGAGAAGATCGGCCAAGGAGGCTATGGCTCTGTATATAAAGGTGTTCTACTCCCAGGTGATGTCCATGTGGCTGTCAAGGTGCTGGGAAACTACAATTGTAATGGAGAAGAGTTCATCAGTGAAGTCTCCACCATTGGCAGGATTCACCATGTCAATGTGGTTCGTTTAGTAGGGTTTTGTGCAGAGGAAGTGAGGAGGGCACTGGTGTACGAGCACATGCCTAATGGATCCCTCGACAAGTTCATCTTTTCACATGACATGAGATTCTCCTGGGACAAGCTCAACGAGATTGCATTGGGCATTGCCAGAGGAATAAACTATTTGCATCAGGGGTGTGAGATGCAGATTCTACATTTTGATATCAAGCCGCACAACATCCTTCTTGACAGCAATTTCGTCCCAAAAGTTGCCGATTTTGGCCTCGTCAAACTGTACCCATGCCACGGGATAATAGTTTTGTGCCTGTTAGCGCTGCAAGGGGAACAATAGGTTATATTGCTCCTGAGATGATATCTCGGAGCTTTGGTGCCATATCTAGCAAATCTGACATGTATAGCTTTGGAATGCTTCTGTTGGAGATGGTTGGAGGGCGAAGGAACTCTAAGCAGGATATGTCGAGCTCAAGCCAAGCGTATTATCCATCATGGGTGTATAATTAGCTGGTTCAACAAGAGTTGGGTGAGGTGGTCACTGCCTTTAATATGCATGAGTTGGAAAAGAAGTTGTGCATTGTTGGGCTACATTGCATTCAGATGAAGTCTCATGATCGGCCAACAATGAGTGAGGTCATTGAGATGCTTGAAGGTGGTGTTGATAGTCTGCAATTGCCTTCTAGGCCATTCTTCTGTGATGACGAGCCTGTGCCACATGTGGTGGGTTCTTACCATTTATCCTCTTGGCTAACTGAAATCTCGGAGGAGGATGAGTGATAAAGCTTGTGTCTGCTTGGAAGCAAACTCAGCTAACTATTTGCTTGTAAAACGCAGAAGCTAGAAATGATTGTAAACAGTGAAATGGTTATTGTACACTATTTATCTAAAAAAAATATTTACAGACGATAGAAGTTGTAGGATCGAATCACAAGAACTAAGCCAACCAGAGGGGGGTGAATGGTTGGTATACCCAAAAACCGAAAACTTTTAGCGGAAATAAAAATTACCCTCGAAATCGATGAAGATCGGTCTGACCGAAGTTGCCTTGCCGGTCTGACCGCTAGGATGCCGCCGGTCTGACCGCCTGTACGCCGCCGGTCTGACCGCCGCTTGCCGCCGGTCTGACCGCCGGTAGATCGCCGGTTAGACCGCCGAAACCCGATAAACACAAATCGAAGAACTCTTAAAGTAGATGACGACTTTATTACTTCTCTCTGTATTTACAAAGTGCACCAACAGCACTCCTTACAAAAATTTCGACTAAACTCGAAACCCTAACTCAAAACTCAACTCAATTGGTCTCTAAAGCGATATCGGAAAGCCTCACGCCCCCCCTCTATTTATACATGAGGTAGGCAGCCTAAAGCCACGAACCAAACTCATACTAGGAGTCCTAAACACCTTAGGAAACCCACTAGTACAAGAAAGAAACTTTACATAACCAATCGTACCAAATTTGGACTCCTTCCAAATTCGACTCCGCATCCCATACGCACACAATAACTCCATCGTATGCCATATGGAAACTCCATCAACTCTAGCCTAAGTATCCCGCATGATCTCTGACCACCACGGACGTCGTCTTATCCCCAAGCCGACTCCCGGTCCATCACCGCAAATACTCTCCCGAGATATCGAGTCACCTACACATGGAACAAACAAAGAAACCATATTCCGAAACCAAGCTATCTTCAACTTGACTCATTAGCAGCAAACAATAGTATTACATACGTATAATATCCATCTAGAAGTCATAATCATGGAATAAACTCGGATATCTAAATAAACAACCCGAAACCGAAACCGACACAGTGTCGGCTGGTCAGACCGCGGGCAGCGCCGGTCTGACCGCGCAATACACGCCGGTCTGACCGGCTACCAAAGCCCGGTCTGACCGGACCCAAATCCAGCAGTACCTGTATATTCACCTGTGAAAACCAATCATCTCCAAAACCACTTCGTGAATAAATTCCAAATAACAAAACCAATAATCTCCAATGCCCAATAGTTCATCACAGAATAATAATCAAAAACACCTTTGATTTTACAGTTGTATCTTAGAAAGTGCTACAGAATCATTTCTGAAGAAAATGCTACTTAATCCATTTCTAATTTTCTCTGTCATTTGCTGGGGCATCCGGATCACTGCAAGCCTGGAGTGTGGACTCTGGAGGTCAGTGTGGATAGCGGCAGGAGGCAGTGGATTGCCTTTGACTGACCGGATAATTTCTTTGCCGTGAACTAGAGGGAGTATTTCGTTTATCATAATGTTGTGACTGGGATGCCATGGTTAATTATGACACATATATGTGTGGCCCATTGGCCAAATGTGTTGTTGGCCGGCGCATTTCTGTGGTGTGTGTGCTGCATGAGCACTCCAGAGCTCATTCCGATAGTGATGGTCAAGTCTCCGAGACACGGACATATGCTTTTGCTGAAAGGAAATGCAACGATTTCGATTTGGACAGCCTAGTGCCTGTGTTTACCGCTGGGCATGGTAATCCGATATATCAATGATGCATGGTAATCTGATATATCAACTTAACATCTCATGCATCAATGCATTTGCTTAAAAAAAAAAAACTTCACGCGGAGCTCTTGTTTTGTGTCACAGTTCGCTGTGCCGAAAGTTAGACGTGAAACATTTTGTTTCTGACTCACTAGCCCACATTTTCATACACTTAATTTTTAAGCTTAACTTCACCATGCTTACGGGTTACAAATTGTTAGTCCTACTTTATATAACTTGCCACATCTTTAACAAATTGGAGTGAGGTAAAGTTAACCAACAACCAAACAGCAAATCACCTGAACAGAGTCGTCAGATTAGGCGCACCACTGCCGCACTGCGTTCTGTCTCTACAGCCTTTTCTGTTGGTCATCTCCGGGCCTAAGCCTAATATTTTGGGCCGAGTAAGGCCCACCTAAACTGCATCGCAGCCCACTACGGGAGAACTCCCCCGCACTTCCCATCTGCCATGGCAACCTCCGCCGGTGCTCCGGTAGCGGCCGGCGGCGGCAGGATCGCTCTGAATCGATTCTCCGTCCTTGACCTTATGGCGTGCCGCTGCCCGCTGCCCGACGGCGATGCCCCACCGGCCACCGCACCACATCTCAAACCGGTGACGGTGAGGGTCGTCATCTCATCTGCGCAGCGGTGGCCATCCGTATTCGAGATCCGCCTCCGCCTCCATGGAGTTGGATTATTCGAATCGATGGATAATCCGCAAACACACGCCGTCCGATCAATGATTTGGTGGGCCATTTGCATGCCTAAGATCAGCTGCAGCCCGGCCCACTACTCGTCTCTTTCTCGGCCACTTCCTTCGATGGGCCGAAATGGAATTGAGATCAAAGGTATTGTTGGGCCAGAACAGGAACGTGTTGGGCTTGTCCCCACTCCCCATCGTTCTCCCCACCATGGACTCCGGCAATCTGCTGCTGCTGCTGCGGCGGCGGCGGCGCCAAAAATGGCCTGAATCGACCCGACTTGCAGTGCAGCATCATTCCCATGGCCTTGCGCCACCGCGTGTCGCTTCCCGCTGAGCGCATCCACCGGTCGAGTTCACCTCGCCTCGACCCCACGCTTCGCCGCAGGGGATCTGTGTCTACTAAGGCCTCCACCTCCTCGCTCTTGTTGGACCACGCCGTCCGGCGATGGAAGCGGCGGCGGATCTCTATCCCCTCCCTGACATTGCTGGAGGTATTTATTTTCATTTTATTTTGGCGCTTTACTAAATTTTGTAACTTCACGAGCTGAACTCAGTACTATATCGATCCTTGTAGATTTTCAGCAGTAGCATGGCAGTATGGCACGGTTGATTGCCTGCCCTACAGATTTCTCTTCTCGCATTTCCTTCTAATATCCAGGTCCTGGCTCTTTCAATGGCATGGATTGGAATATGCAAGCAACAATCGACTACTTCTTACTAACTAGTGAGATCTAATTAACTTTTCAGTGGCAAACAGACGATGGTAACTTTGCTTTTCTATTCAGTTTTTTCTAAAGATAAAGTGTGCTCAAACCCATTTCAATGCATTCACTCGATAACACAAAGTTTACAATTACCTTGCAGGATTCTCTTATGAAATTTCCACCAGGTACTGACCCATGAAAAGGACAATAAGAGTATCTGACTAACTAGTGGAGCTAGGAGTACAATACATCAGGAGATACATCACAGCAACTGATGAACAGAGGTAACAGCCACAACTGAACCACAATGTTGTATTTCTACTTAACTGCAATACATGTTGAAGAGTGATCCCCTCAGATGGCTAATCCAGCGGAATCATCAAAATAAACACAACGCAATTTCTAGGCCTTACTATATGAAAACATGTGGATTAACTCCCAAAAATTTATTCAGTCATGGTGTTGTGCTCTCCATGATTTATGGCATAGGATGGCTTTCATACGAAACAAATGGCTTAGGGGGCACCTGTATGTTCTGCAACCTTCCAGTTATCATGTTTACGACCTTTGTCATCGAGGGCCGATTTCTTGGGTTCCACTGAATACACCATAGTGCCACAAGGGCCAGCTGTCTCACCATTTGTTTCTCTTCTTCTGTCATTTCCCTACTAAGTACGAACTCCTGCCCAGTAATTACTTTCTCATAGATCCATTCTGGGAAGTATACCTCATTTTGGTTCTTAATACTTGGGTCCCAGCTCCTCCTTCCACTCACCATTTCTAACACAAGCATGCCAAAACTATAAACATCTGACTTGTATGATATCTCCCCAAAGTTCCTAGAATATAGCTCTGGTGCAATGTATCCCATCGTGCCTCTTGCTTTGGTCATGGTAACAATGCTTTGGTCTCTCGGGCACAGCTTTGCAAGACCAAAGTCCGAAATCTTTGGACTGAAGTTATAGTCCAGCAAGATATTATGAGGCTTGATATCAAAGTGGAGGATGCGCTGGTTGCATCCTTGATGCAGGTACTCCATTCCTCGGGCAATGCCTAAAGCAATATCTAGCATCTTGTTTGGTGACAGGAGCTCTTGAGGAGTATTATGATCATGCAAGAATATATATTTCTCTAGTGACTCATTAGGCATAAATTCATAAATAAGAGCACGCCTTGTTCCTTCGGAGCAGAAGCCCAGGAGATGGATAATGTTTGCATGGTGGATTCTTCCAATGGTTGCAACTTCAGTAATAAAATCTTCTCCGTCTCCTGTAGGGTTCTCTAACATCTTGACTGCCACAGGCACTCCATTTAGGAGCTTGCCTTTGTAGACAGTTCCAAATCCACCTTGGCCTACTTTTTCCTTGAAGCGTCTTGTTATCTTCTTTACTTGAGAGAAAGTATACCTTGTGGGTTTTGATGTGCCATATGTCCTGAGAAACATTTCAACCTTCAAGTGTACCTCTTCATTATACCTTTGCTTCAGGGAGAGATAGAGCACAGTAGCCACCACCAATGAAACAGCAACAAATGCAGCTACTGATGTTGCTGAGTAAATAGAATAAGAACAGCATATTGCATCAGGACAGAAAATTATCCCATAGTGAGTGGCTTATCTTGATGGGTATAAAAGAACGCAGTGTCTTTTTATCAGAAGAATGTAGTTAGAGCAGCCATCAACAACTATTTTATCTGCTACAGATAACTTTGTTTATTTCATTTTTTTCTTGTGAATAAAAAGATAGGTTTGCTTAATCCTGCCTTCCTCCAGTTGGCTTATTTAGCCATGTAATAACGACTATTGCTCGAACACTTTGCTTCTCCTTCTTAATATATCCAGCAGAACTCCTGCTGTCACACACACACACACACACACACACACACACACACACACAGAGGTTTGGATTGCAATAGTACCTGCAATGACTTTGACGCGTGAACCTGCAAATACCAAAGCAGACAATAAGATCTATTTGATGGTTTACAGGTAAAATGGAAATTTACTCTTGAAAAAATGTAAACCCAGCATAGACCTACGACATTGCAGAAAAATATGGACCCTGTGGGATATCATAGAGTTTTAGTTTTGGGGTTACAATTGTACTTTGATTATGCAAATATATATGTGATAGATAACTTCTCCTAGTGTGTGTATATCTGATTGTGCAAAAGCTCAGCACAGTATCATCAACTGCAGTCTTCTGTACTCAAGACAGCAGAATCATGATTATCATCAGAACATGTAAGATTAGTTGTGTTGTATGCTTACTTAACTTTTAGATTTTCTAATTGTAGGAGTCTTTTGTTACTTAAGTTACTTTTGCTTTCGGGTCCTTTTCATTAGCAGTACAATGGTGTTGTTTGTAGCTGCATATCTATGTTAAGATGTAAATTTATAATCATTGTGTCTGATTGTTGCTAGTTGAGCAAACATTATTCTCCATTGGCCACTTCTTTTTTGAGATATCTATGAGAATTGTAAAGAATGATTAAATAGTTACAGTCACATATTCAAATGGTTTGTACTACTAGTTTGCAAAATAATTTTGCAACTCATCTCCTAGAAGTTTCAAAAGGTAGTACTGTATGGGTGGATCAAATGCAAGAGCTTAACTATTGTAGGAAATAAAGCTATATGTTTGTGGGTGGTTATTGTTAGAATGGTACCGTGATGCATGCAGAATGTTTGATTCCTTTGTGAGCTGAACGCGCAGCGTTGCCCTTGCTGTTCACACCGCGTGCAATTGTAGGGAATACTTCCGAGAAGCAAATCAAGGGTGATCTCAGCAGAGTTGATTATCCTTTCTGCCATTTGCTTGAACGTTAAACCAGCCGTGTATGGATTGGGGATTGGAATGTTGCCTTTTGAGACGACCATGCAGTCCAATGGAAGCGCATACAGGTAGAGCCGAGTAGACACCAAATATGAGAAGTGGCTTGTAGTGTCCCTTAGGCAGGGGATCAAGCGGACAACTTTATCGGCAATAACAGTGTTGTAGCCGTCGATCATAGAAGCTCTACTTGTTGTGAACTCTTTTGAACAACGCACTATTCTCCCAGGTTCAGTGAGGTATAATTGATTCTGATCGTTGACATCAGCTGATAGATTTGTGGAATTGAACTTGTGAAGCAGGCATGGAGAAGATGAACCCCCAAACGGGATGATCTTCATGACAGCCTTCTTGTAATCTATGGCAGTCACCTTGCAAGGGCCCAGAAATGGGTGATGTAGGATGGTGTCCTGGCCAGAGCATATTAGCTTGGCGTGTGAACTGCCACATGATGAAGGTGTGTTGCTGGATTGCAGCCGGTGAGGGAACCGGATCTCTGGTCCATGTTTGCTGCACCGGGACGGTGGACAATGCTTGAAGAAGTCTTGGTCATCCCAAGATGAGGAAGCCATGGCTATGTAGCTGCCATGGCTGAGAACAGAGAGCAGGAAGGCTGTTGCGAGAATGGTACCCATCTCTCTCTCTCTCTCTCTCTCTCTCTGTGTGTGTGTGTGTGTGTGTGTGTGTACTGCAACGGCCAGAGGTACATTGAAAATTAGGGTGAAGAGGATTGCAAACAGAATAGAGAGAGCAGGAAGGCTGTATGATCACTGCTTGCTATAATAGGGGACAATCAATCATATACTCCTATTTCCTAGCGAAAGTTGGTCAAAGTTTGGTACTAATTTGGCTTTACTCTATCAGATACTTCGGTTGGTCCATCCCTGCCCCATCTCTATCAGAGACTATGGATAATATTGACTGATTGCAATATGTCTGGATTAGTCAACAAAATCAGGGAGCACGGATCATATGCAGCAGCCAACATAAGCACCTGTCTTCGTTAGCCAACCTTGTCCTTGTGGGCTGAGTGAGTAGCATGCATCCCCTCTCTACCACAATGCAAGCCTTTGTTTTCATCTTTGCTGTTCTTGCTCTTCTTGCAGGAGATGTCGAGGGGCGGCAAGGGTGCTATCCTTTCTCCTGTGGACATCTCCAGAACATTTCTCATCCTTTCCGCCGGCGAGGTGATCCACAAAGATGCGGTGTTCCGTCATATGAGTTAGACTGCAGAGATAGCAAGGCTACCATTAGGATCAACACAGGGACATACTATGTAACCAGCATCAACTACACTACTTCTGTCTTCTGGGTTGTGGATGCCAGCCTAAAAGATACAAACAGCAGCTGCCCTCTTCCTCGCTCGGATCAGCTTCCTTTCGTTTCGGGGGGTATCCAGGGATCACATGGCGGCTGGGACCTGGCCCTTGACCCTGGACCTGGAGCTACATGGGTTAGCTTTGTGAATTGTTCACAGGCAGTAAGGAATAATAGTGTGTACGTTCCTGTTGATTGCCTGAGCACAAGCTCTTCGTTTGTTTATGTGTTTGGTTCCTGGATAATGCCTCCATCTGTTTTTCCAATCATCGGAAACCTTGAGACTTCATGTCGCTACCTTGCCATGATTCCCTTGGGTGGTTGGGACTCGCCATTGCCACATAATGCAAGCTTTTCAGACATCGTCAGATCCATGAGGAATGGATTTGCTGTTCATTTTCCCATAATACATAGGTGGAGTAGGATTGGGCACATCAAGGATTGTCTGATGGGGTCGATTCGGTGAGTTTCAGGTGTTGTTCCATTACATTCATACATAAATTTGAGTACATATTTGTCTTAAAAGCATTGATACGCTCTCTAAGCCATTCTTTTCTCTACCATGTCACGGCCTTGCAGGGGCTTTCATGAAGAACCATTGTCCAATCAAACCATCAAGGATCAGATTGTGGACATCCTTTTTATTGACTTTAGTTTCTGGTCCTGCATAATTGGAGGAGTGGGCATGAAAGATTATTTCGATATGCCACAATACATGATGGGGATGCTTCGTGGAAAAATAGAATTTTATGGCGGATTCATTGTACAATTTGCTTTGTTTGTTTTCAAGTGGATTGCTGGTACTTCTATGATTCTGTCTTCTTAATTATACAGTACATAATCACCACTGCACCGTTCCAATGTCTAAAGACACATTTACTAAAAGTTATCACTGTTTATGTAAAGTTGTTTTTTTATGCAGTTTTATGCAGGTTCGTGATAGCTCCGTTGACACTATTGACCTTCCTTGCCTTCAAGTATTGGAAAACTAGAATAAAAATCGACGCAGTTGAGAAGTTTTTACAAATGCAGCTGATGCTTGGTCCAACAAGGTACGCCTACACAGACATCATTGCAATGACAAGCCATTTTAGAGACAAGTTGGGCCAGGGTGGCTATGGCTCCGTGTTCAAGGGAGTGATACTGCCTGGTGATGTCCATGTTGCCATCAAAATGCTATCCAACTACAATTGTAATGGAGAAGAATTCATCAGCGAGGTATCCACCATTGGCAGTATCCATCATGTCAATGTAGTACGTCTAGTGGGGTATTGTGCAGAGGAAATGAGGAGTGCACTTGTGTATGAGTACATGCCCCATGGATCTCTTGACAGGTTCATCTTCTCTCCTGACAAGAGTCTCTCTTGGGACAAGCTCAATGAGATCGCATTGGGCATTGCTAGAGGAATAAACTACTTACATCAGGGGTGTGATATGCAGATTCTACATTTTGATATCAAGCCGCACAACATCCTTCTTGATAGCAATTTTGTCCCAAAAGTTGCCGATTTTGGCCTTGCCAAACTGTACCCACGGGATAACAGTTTTATGCCAGTTAGCGCTGCACGAGGAACAGTAGGTTATATTGCTCCTGAGATGATATCTCGGAGCTTTGGTATCATATCTAGCAAATCTGATGTTTATAGCTTTGGAATGCTTCTGTTGGAGATGGCTGGAGGGCGAAGGAATTCTAAGCAGAACATGTCGAGCTCAAGCCAGTCATATTATCCATCTTGGGTGTATAATCAGCTGGTTCAACAAAAGATGGGTGAGATTGCCAATGCCTTCAATATGCATGAGCTGGAAAAGAAGTTGTGTGTTGTTGGTCTACATTGCATTCAAATGAAGTCTCATGATCGTCCAACGATGAGTGAGGTCATAGAAATGCTTGAAGGTGATGTTGGTGGTCTGCAGCTGCCTTCAAGGCCATTCTTCTGCGATGATGAACCCCTGCCACTGCTAGTGGATTCTTGCCGTTTCTCCTCTGAACTAACTGAAATCTCAGAGGAGGATGAGTGAAGCTTGTGCATGTGCTTTGATGCCAAATAGGAAAGGTGGTAAGTAAGTTGTAAAACGCTGAGGGATATGTTCCCTTGGCATTGTTGAAATTTGGAGGTTATCTTGTTTTAGGGAATAACAGAGTATAAAGCAGGAGCAAGAAAATGTGATCTTGTGGTATGCTATTTATTTTTGCATATGATAAAGTTGTATTTTCTACCATGAGAAAGTAGTACTGAATTATGGCTGAAAGTGCTAGTACTTAAATTTTTTGCTCTCTGCTTTGTCGTGGCATTCGGATCACTGCAACCTGAGAGTCTGCATTCTGGAGTTTGTCTGGAGGTTGTAAGTGTGCATGGGGGCAGGAGGCAGCTGCCTTCCTTGACTAACTGGGTCATCTTTTGACTGAAAAATCTTTGATTTGTCCTAAATTTGTGATGGGGATGTCACCGTTTCATAGTTACTGTGTATGAAAATTGGGCGATGGTACAAGATATGGAGCTGTTTTTGCTGAAAATGTGACGATTAGGACAGCCGATTATCGCTGGGAGCTGTAATCCAATTTGTCAATGGTGCAAATCTGACTATCAGTTAGTTCCAGTGTCAAACAAACAAAAATTCTTCCCCGCAAAAAAAAAAAAAACAAAAAAATAAAAATTCTTACTATGAGAACAAGCGCTGGTTAGGTTTTGACTAATCGATCAGCCAGACAAACAGCGTGGTCAGTATGTTGATGACTTGCGATGTCGCCTTTTGATGTTTTTATGCATGCGTGCAGAAATTTGTAGAAATGGTATCGTTTTTCGCATCCAAAGCAGGCAGCTTTTCTCGTACTATGACATGATGAACAGTTTCGTCGTCTGACTATTTTTTTTTGGAGGTTTCGTCGTCTAACTCATCGCCGTGTTTTTGACAGTTATAAGTACGTTGTGATAGTGGAGTAGCGTCGCTTAATGAAGGCCCACAGTAATAGCCCACCTCAAATGCAGTGTGCCTAAGCTTGTGGGCCGAATCAGTAAAGCCCAACTGAGAGGTCTAATTCTGGGCCGGTATGGACGCAGCCGCGCCGGATTACGTGTGGGCCGAGACGCGTACGGGAGCGTCCTCTTCCTCTTCTTCGCTCTCCACTCCGTCGTCCACCATGGCAACCTCCGCCGTTGATCCGGCCGCAGGTGGCGGCGGCGGCGGAAAAATGGTCTGAATCGACCCGCCGAAGAAGATCTTATAGAGTGGCGGTGAAACTGTTCCCATGCGCCACTGCGTGAGTGCAGGTACGCCACATCTCAAATCGGATTGCTCCGATGAGGGTCACCTCCGGGAGCTATCACTATTCGAGATCTGCTGCCGTGGAGTTGGCTTGTTCAAAGCGAAGTGTATTCTGACCGCTAGTGTAGAGTAAGATTTCTTCATCTAAATAATACTGTGCCTCTCTATATTACCACAACTGCATACTAGTTCTGCTTGAATCTGAATATTACCTGCTTGATTTTGTTTTTCACGCTACCATCACTATTCAATCCATCGCGGCATTGACCTGATTTTGTGGAGTTTTAGGGTCCGTTTGGTTCAGGGGTTTTCTTGAAGGCTGTAATTTTGTTACCTCTCAACTTAGGAACCATATTTACATCACTATTATCTATATGCCAGAGGAAAATACTGAAAATTTAATGCATCTGAAAATCACCTTTGTAGAGGAACTAAAAGCCACCTGGTTACTAATAAGTCATAGTAGGAAAATCTGCATAGAAATATGCAATTTGCATGAATCAGTCTCCCAAATTCCCAATTTGTTTCCAATGCGTGTTGTCCTTCTCTAGAAGAGCTACGACCAAATTAAAGCATGGTATGGGGTTCATCTATAACAACCAGGATCAGTTTCGTGCTAAAAAGGAAAGCATAACAAAATGAACTTTGGAGTTCTCATCTATTGTCGATCGAATATGTTCTGCAGTATCCAACAATTTAAATCATTGCAAGATATCATGCCACTACAATCACCTCATTCACCTGGGGCCTGATAAATTAGATGCTACAGGGGGGTCGGAGTCCACAATTCCAGCAACACCAAAGCTTACTGGATTTGTTGCGACGAAGTCATGGTCTATGTCAGTCTCAATACTTGTGGTGCCTTCCAAAACTTTGACAACCTCAGACATTTGAGGCCTTCTTTTGCAATCAATCTGCAAACACCACATTGCGAGTTTCATCATCTCAATTATTTCTTGCCGGTGTACTTGCATATCATTGCTGTGCTTGTCAATCAAATCTGCCAACTGATCACCCTTCACCTTTTCTTGCAGTAAGGTAATTAGATGGATACTCTGTTCAGACCTGGAAGTGTCAAGGTTCTTTCTCCCACTGATCATTTCCATGACTACTATGCCAAAGCTATAGACATCTGCCTTTTCTGTGATCTGCGATGTCAGCCATTCTGGAGCTAAATATCCAGGTGTGCCTCTCATTCTGGTAATCACTTGACTCTTATCTCGATCAATAAGCTTGCATAGACCAAAATCAGAAAGTTTAGCATTGAAGTTGTCGTCTAGGAGGATATTTTGTGGTTTTACATCTAAGTGAGCAATTCTCATCATGCACTCCTCATGAAGATAAGAGAGACCCTTGGCTACTTGAGTAATAATCTTGTATCGTGTCCACCAATCTAGAGCAGGAGCAGGAGAACCTTGCTGGTGATAGAGCCACCTGTCCAAGGATCCTTTGGGCATATGCTCATAAACCAAAAGCCTTTGTGATTTCTCTGCACAGAAGCCAATCAGCCTCACTAGATTGATATGGTGAATGCTGCCGATTGTCTGAACCTCTGCCATAAATTCTCTCATTCCCTGACCACTTTGATCCAAGCGTTTCACCGCTACTCTTTCACCTCCAATCTGTCCCAGGAAAACAGACCCAAACCCCCCTTGACCGAGCTTGTCTCTGAATTGATCAGTTGCTTCTTGTAGCTGCTGAAATGTGAACCTCCTCGGCATTCCTTGAAGGGGTAGCTCCTCAAACTCTTGTTCCTCTTCTTGCATCTCCTGGTGTCTTCGTATTCTTCGTTTGATGATAATGATGGAAGCGATGATAATGGTGAGTACTGAAGTAGAGCCGATCACAGAGACCACGATAGTGGCAACAAGCCTTCCTCCTCTTTTGGATGAGGAATCCAAGCCTGAAGGCCCAATAGCAATAGGTGCAGGAGGAGGAACCGGAGATGAAGACGTGAGATCAGTTGGAGGGCAGAAGATGATCTGGTAGTTTGTCCCTGACGGGCAAGTGAATGTAGTGCTGGAGCTGTCATCCAAACTGTAGCTATATGCGTCAGGGCACATCCTGACGAATGGCAGTGAGAAGGTGGTGGGTTCGCAGGTTTTGGTGCCAGTGGTGCCAGTGCAGCAGTATTTGTCTTGCTTGAACACATTGCAGGCGCTGTTGCAGCCTCCAGGCGCCTTGAGCTCGCTGGGGCACTGCGACGTGATGTTGGCCGGGCAGCGTGGCCCCTTGCTGCACGGTGGTGCTCCGTGCCTCTGCTCCGGAGCCGGCACGGGGAGGAAGTCCATGGGCACGTTGAAGCCGTCGGTGAGGGAGATGTCGAAGAAATCCTGTACGCTGGTCTGGTCCACCGTGAACTCAGCGAGCGTCTGAGGTGGCTTGCCGCTGTTCTTGCACTTGAGCACGCCGCCGCAGTCTCCCGTCTGGCACGATCCGTTGCCATTGGCATCGAATGAGCAGCCTGTGCGCGCCCACACACGCCCTGCGCCGCTGTTGGCGGGCACGTCGAGCGCCCACGACTCGCCTGGGTCGAGCCGCATGCCGCCACCCACCGGCACGGCGGCCGGCCACACGGTGAAGGAGCATCGGTTGGTGATGTTCAGCGTGGCTCCGGCGGCGTAGTTGGTGCTGGCGGCAACGAGGAGCAGCAGAGTCACAAGGTGGTGAGTGCGGCGACTAGTACTGATGGTACTCCCCGCTGCCATTTGTGTTGTGATTCGATTGCCTGACTCCGTTTGTAGAGCGGAAGAAGGAGACAGCAGATCGATCAGTATGTTGTGTAAGTTCACATGGTCTGCGTGTTGAATTGTTCAACGGTCTTCGGTCAACGACCTAGCAATTGTTTTGATTTGCCTGCAAGCATATCATAGATCCTGTGATTACTACGTGGTTGCGTGCTTTCCTCATCTTTTTCAGCGTTCTATGACGCCCTTTTTGACTTGCCAACCATGCCTGCCGTCAACAGTGTGGCGCCCAAAATGTCTCTTTCTTTCACCTTAACTGTTACCGTGTGGTGTTGGAATCTCTCTCTTAAGGTCGTGTATATTTCTATCATCCAATTATGTCACAACAAATTATATACGAGAGTTTGACGAGATACCGTACTTGTTCTACTACCTATGGATGATTTTCATACCTGTCTGCCCAAAAGTTGCAGGTGACGATGGTGCAATCCTGGTGCAGTGCAGGTCGGTGACGATCTCCTAGTTGATGTTGTTGATCCCTGACCGGCGGCGACCTGTGGACTATCCGGCATGATGTGTTAAAACTTTTTTGTAGTAATTCTGTGGTGATTTGGATATCTTGCAACAATTTGCTCTCCAATATATCTGATAGATGTGTCGCTCTCAGCAATTTCTTTTTGTCGGGGCCACTTCCAGAAAACATGCTGATTATGTTTGAAGGGTTTGAAACAGGAACTCAGCGCGCCCATTTGCGTAATGCCTTGAGTTCATCTCACTTTCGATCTTTGTATGCATTTTATCTACTGCTCATCTGCGTCAACTTAAGCCCGGCCTACGTCTAGCTGTGGGCCGGATTCAGCAAGGTTGCCTCTGTGATGGGCCAGGACGGAATAACATTGAATGAGCTTGGGCCCGAACGGGATAGTGTGTTGGGCTTGAACCCAGTCCCCACAGTTCCCCCCTCCCCATCGACCTGCGGGCTGCGGCGGCGCTCCAGCAGACGGCGGCGGCGCCGCCGGTGCCGGCGCCAAAATCAACCCGACTTCCAGGCTCCCAGCGCCACTGCGCGTGGCTGCCCTGGCTCTGAGCGCATCCAGCGGTTGAGCTCGCCCTGCCCCGACCCCGCGCTCCGCCGCGGATCTCTAGAAACGCCACCACGACGCCCGGCGATGGTTTCCACGGCAGATTGCTTCCCCCTCCCTGACATTTGATGATGGAGGTATTTATTTTGCGACATGCTTTAGTATCATGGCATGGTTGATTTTCTGCCCTACAGCGTTGTCTTCTCACGTTTCCCTCACATATTCAGGCCCTGGCTCTTTCAATGGCGCATGGATAGGAGGAATATGCAACAAAAGGAAACTTCTTACTGGCATTTGTCATTGACAAATAGACAATGGTAATGGTGATCCCTTTGCTTTGCTATTCATTTGTTTTAAACATAAAGCGTGCTCAAACCCAATTTAATGCATCCATTTGATAACACTAGATTTACAATTTCCTTGCAGCATTGTCTTGCAAAATATCCATCAGAATACTGACCCATGAAAAGGCCAATGGGAGTATCTGACTGACTAGTGCAGCTAGGAGTACAGTACAGTAGGAGATACACCACAGCAACGACTGAACAAGGTAATCACCACGACTGAACCACTATGTTGCAGGTTGAGTTCAATGCGATGCTTTTCTGCTTAACTGTGTTACATGGTGAACTCACCTCAGATGGCTAATACAGTGGAATGATCAAAGTACATATTATGCAATATCTAGGCGTTACATTACTATGCATCATGTGGATAAAGTATAAGTCCCAAAAATTTACTAAGCCATTGTGGTGTAGTTTCCATGGTTTATGGCATAGGATGGCTTTCATACGAAACAAATGGCTTAGGAGGCACCTGTATGTTCTGCAACCTTCCAGTTATCATGTTTACAGCCTTTGTCATTGAGGGCCGATTTCTTGGGTTCCACTGAATACACCACAGTGCCACAAGGGCCAGCTGTCTCACCATTTGTTTCTCTTCTTCTGTCATTTCCCTACTAAGTATGAAGTCCTGCTCTGTAATTACTTTCTCATAGATCCACTCTGGAAAGTATACCTCATTTTGGTTCTCAATACTTGGGTCCCAGCTCCTCCTTCCACTCACCATTTCTAAAACAACCATGCCAAAACTGTAAACATCTGACTTGTAAGATATCTCCCCAAAGTTCCTAGAATATAGCTCCGGTGCAATGTATCCCATTGTGCCTCTTGCTTTGGTCAAGGTAATAATGCTTTGGTCCCTTGGGCACAGCTTTGCAAGACCAAAGTCCGAAATCTTTGGACTGAAGTTATAGTCCAGCAAGATATTATGAGGCTTGATATCAAAGTGGAGGATGCGCTGGTTGCATCCTTGATGCAGGTACTCCATTCCTCGGGCAATGCCTAAAGCAATATCTAGCATCTTGTCTGGTGACAGGAGCTCTTGAGTATTAGGATCACGCAAGAATATATATTTCTCCAATGACTCGTTAGGCATCAATTCATAAACAAGAGCACGTCTTGTTCCTTCAGAGCAGAAACCTAGGAGACGGACAATGTTTGTATGGTGGATCGTTCCAATGGTTGCAACTTCATTAATGAACTCTTCTCCATCCCCTGTAGGGTTCTCTAGCATCTTGACTGCCACAGGCACTCCATTTGGTAGCTTTCCTTTGTATACAGTTCCAAATCCACCTTGGCCTACTTTTTCCTTGAAGCATCTTGCTATCTTCTTTACTTCAGAGAAAGTATACCTTGTAGGTTTAGATGTGCCATATGTCCTTAGAAACATTTCAACCTTCAAGTGCACCTCTTCATTATAACTTAGCTTCAGGGAGAGATAGATTGCAGTGGCCACCACCAATGAAATAACAACAAATGCAGCTACCGATGATGTTGCTGAATAGATACAGAATAGAAAATTAGCACATTGCATCAGGACAGAAAGCTATCCCCTATTGAGCAAATGATTGTGATGGGTATAAGAGAATGTAGTGTCTTTTTGACAGAAGAATGTAGAGTTAGAGCAGCCAACAAGAAAAAAATACGTGTGGCAGATAACTCTGTTTCTTTTCTTCTCTTTTGATAAAAAAACGGAGGTTTGAACTTTGAATTACTGCAGTACCTGCAATGACTTTGACACGTGAACCTGCAAATACCAAACAATATAGTAAGATTGTTAATAGTTTAACAGATGAAACAGAAATATACTTATGAAAACATAGTAAGATTCAATATAGCAATAGATATGATAGAAGTTTTCGTTTTAGGGGAATAAATGTAATGTTAATGTGATTATGTGAACATATATGTAACAGACAGTTGTTCCTTTCATCAATGCATTAGAAGCTGTTTCTCCAAAGCATCTCTGGGGATTGAGTGTTATGCCAGATTGAGGTTGGTTAAGGTGAATAAAGTGGATCAAGGGTTATGGCTCATGATTTTTTTTCACAAATCACTCGCAGTGTGAACTGATTATTCATCAAAGCAACCAAACATCTAACTGCAGTTCCCGTTTTATCATATACTAACTAGGATGTGGGCACTAAGATTTAATTATTGGTGGGTGTAATCATGCACTTATAACAACAGCAAAGGTGCTTCATCAATGCACTTCTTGTTCTGAAGTTCTAGGGATGACTCTTTGTAAGGTGAAGCTACCTAGCCAAATGGTTTGTAGTGCGAGTTGCAAAATACCTATTTATAGCTATCTCATGGAAGTGTCTGTGAACTAAAGGAGTAGTATATCATATTATCATTAGTAAATTAAGTGCACGAACTTAAAAGGAAAGTATGATGAGGAAATAAAACATGAGTTATGCACTTATGCTGTCATATAATGTTTTGGTATCTGATTAGGATGGTACCATGAGGTTTGTGGCCCATGCAGAATGTTTGATTCCTTTGTGAGCTGAATGCGCAGCGTTGTCCTTGCTGTTCACACTGCACACAATTGTCAGGAATGCCTCCCTCGGACCAACTTACAGTTGTCTCAGCAAAGTTGAGGATTCTTTCTGCCAGTTGCTTGAACGTTGGACCATCAGCGGTGACTGCACCGGATATCGGAACAATGCCTTTAGAGACAGCCTTGCAGTCCAATGGAAGTGAATAAATGTCTTCATAAGCATCCACCAAATATGAGAAGTGGCTTGGGTCACTGAGGCAGGAGATTGGGCCCACGACAGCATGATCAGCAATATTCCCATCATAGTCATTGGTCGGAGACATACTTGGTGTGAGCACTTTTGAACAGCATACTATTTTCCCAGGCTGGGCATTGTATAATGAACAGCGACTGGAATGATAATCTGGTTCCGGTAGATTGTCGATGATGAGCTTCTGAAGCGGGTATGAAGACAATGAGTCTACGAGCGGGATGATCTGGAAAACAGCTTTCTTGTAATCTATGGCAGTTACCTTGCATGGCCCCAGAAATGGGTGATGCAGGATGGTGTCTGGACCAGAGCATGCTAGCCTCGCGCATGAAGCACTGCATGATGATGATGAAGATGAGTTGCTGGATTCAAGCTGGTGAGGGAACCGGATCTCTGGTCCACTGTCACTGCACCAGGACGGTGGACAATTTCTGGCGAAGTCTTCCTCCTCCCAAGCTGAACCCATGGCCGGGTAGGCGCCATGGCTGATGACGGAGAGGAGGAGTGTTGTTGCAATGACTTTACTCATCTTTGTGCACTGAAACGGCCAGAGATGGACAGGGAATTAAGGTGGAAACATATGCAATTAATCAATCAATATACTGCAAGTGTGTGTATCTAATAATCAACCCTAGCTTATTTATAAGCTTCGTTCCAAAAAAAAAAGCTTATTTACAAGGGGGCTGGTTAAAGTATCTCATCGTTAATGAAGGGGGTCCAGGGTGATATATATAGCAGGCCACCACGTAAAAGTCCAAATTTGACTAGGCTTAGTCTAACTAGGTGTTGCTACGTAAGTGCAACATCCTTCTGTGTTGTTACCCTGTCCCTTTATATGAATCTTATGCTGATATGCAGTCCATGTCAACATAACAATTTAAGGTTTTCTTTGACGAACTGACTTCGGTCCCTTACTATGAATCTTATGCATAGGACCAAACTGTATCAGCCAAAAAAAAACTATTCTTATATATGTAGGTGCAGCAAGCTGCTAGTCTACTATAACCAGCCTGTGGACTGAGCAACTCTGCCAGCTTCCCCCTCTACTACCATTACAATGCAAGCCTTACTCATCTTTGCTATACTTGCAGTTCTCGCAGGAGTTGTCCAGGGACAGCAGTGGTGCCAGCCTTTCTCCTGCGGCCATCTCTCAAACATAAGTCATCCTTTCTGGCGGAGAGGCGACCCTCACAGGTGCGGTGTTTCATCATATGAGCTAGAGTGTAGCAGTGGCAAGGCCACCATCCAGATCAATACAGGAACATACTATGTCACTAGCATCAACTACAACGATTCGTCCTTCTGGGTCGTGGACGCCAACCTGCAGGATGCAAACAGCAACTGCCCTCTTCCTCGCTCCAATCATCGTCCTTTCATTTGGGGGATTCCAGGGCCAAGCTACACCAGGGAATTGACTCTTCAGGGAATATGGTGGGCGACCTTTGTCAATTGTTCGCAGGCAGTGAAGAACAATAACAAGTACATACATGTGGATTGCCAGAACACGAGCTCTTCATTTGTCTATGTGCTGAATGTCGCACCATATTACGCTCTTATGGAAAATCTTGAGCCTTCTTGCGGATACTTGGCCATGATTCCAGTTAGTTGGACTCCTGCCAGTGGTAAAAAATACCAATATTTTGCTGAGTTGATGAGGAAGGGATTCTCTGTTCGCTTTCCTTTTGTCTTAGATCATCCGACTGCATTTGAGCTAATCAAGCAGTGCCTAAACCGGTCAATTCGGTGAGTTTCGGTATCTTAGTTTAATTTTGCCCATAAATAATCGTTTTTTAAGTAAATACTTGGTACCGTTGTTAAGACTTTTTTTCTACCATGTCATTGGCCTTGCAGTGGTTTTCGTGAAGAACCATTCTCCACTACTGCACATGTCAAAAATCGGATTGCGGACATTGTTTTTATGGACTTGATCTTTTGGGCATGCATAATTGGCAAAACGAGCCAAACATCAGATTATTTTGAGACACCACTCTATATGGTGGAGATGCTTCATGGGAAAAGAATATTTTATTCAGGATTTGTCCTACAATTTGTCATGTGGACAGTAAAGTGGATATATGGTACTCTACAATACACATGCTTTTTATAAACTTGTTGTTATGCTACATGTGATTGATGCCGCTGCATCACTCTAAGCACATCATTCCCATGTATCTAAACATGTTTTTATGCAGTCATATGCAGGTTTGTGTTGGCGCCACTGGCACTATTGACTTTTCTTGCACAAAGATACTGGAAAACAAGGATCACAATCGATGCAGTTGAGAAGTTTCTGCGAATGCAGTTGATGCTTGGCCCGACGAGGTACACCTACACAGATATCATTGCAATGACAAGCCATTTCAGAGACAAGCTAGGTCAGGGTGGTTACGGTTCTGTATTCAAGGGTGTCATACTCCCGGGTGATGTTTACGTTGCCATCAAGATGCTAGACAACTACAATTGCAACGGAGAAGAGTTCATCAGTGAGGTCTCCACCATCGGTAGTATCCATCATGTCAATGTTGTGCGTCTGGTGGGGTTTTGTGCAGAGGAAATGAGGAGGGCACTAGTGTACGAGTACATGCCCCATGGATCTCTCGACAAGTTCATCTTCGCACCTGAAAAGAGCTTCTCCTGGGACAAGCTCAATGAGATTGCACTGGGCATTGCTAGAGGAATAAACTACTTGCATCAAGGGTGTGATATGCAGATTCTACATTTTGATATCAAGCCACACAACATCCTTCTTGATAGCAATTTCGTCCCAAAAGTTGCCGATTTTGGCCTCGCCAAACTATGCCCACGGGACAACAATTATGTGCCAGTTAGCGCTGCACGAGGAACAGTAGGTTATATTGCTCCTGAGATGATATCTCGAAGCTTCGGTGTCATATCTAGCAAATCTGATGTTTACAGCTTTGGAATGCTTTTGTTAGAGATGGCTGGAGGGCGAAGGAACTCTAAGCAGAACATGTCAAGCTCAACCCAGGTGTATTATCCATCATTGGTGTATAATCAACTCATTCAACAAGAGATGGGTGAGATCACCAATACCTTGAATATGCATGAGCTGGAAAGGAAGTTGTGTGTTGTTGGTCTACATTGCATTCAGGTGAAGCCTCCTGATCGTCCAACGATGAGTGAGGTCATAGAAATGCTTGAAGGTGATGTTGATGGTCTGCAGCTGCCTTCCAGGCCATTCTTCTGCGATGATGAACCCCTGCCCCTGTTGGTGGATTCTTACCGTTTCTCCTCTGAGCTAACTGAAATCTCAGAGGAGGATGGCTGAAGCTTATGCATGTGCTTTGATGCCAAAAAGTCAAGGTACTAAGTTGGTTGTTGTTTTTTCTCAGATAAGGTGGTAGGTAGGTTGTAAAACTGAGGCTACATATTGTTGTAAACAGATGTTTCATCGCATTGTTGTAATTTGAAAGTGATTTTTTTTAGGGAATAACAGAGTATAAAGCTGGAACGAGAAAAATGTGATCTTGTGGTACGCTATTCATTTGCATACGATAAAAGTTGTATTTGTGCCATGAGAAAGTACTACTGAATTATGGTTGAAAGTGCCATGAGAGCTATGACCATTTTGATATGTAAGAAGAGCTATTGGTTTCACATGTATGAACCAGGATCAGATTTGCTAATAGGGCAAGTTCAACAGAAACAATCAAACAATATTGAGATGTTCTTCTTGAACGAAAATTGCAATATTAAAAAATGTAAATGATTTGAAGGTATGATGCTATCACATTATAGTTTTCTGAGAATGCAACAGCGTATATGCTATGCCTTTTTCTGACCCAAAAGCGCACATGTTCTAGTATACCATCAAAATTGCGTCAGTCACCTGGGTCCGGATAGATCTGAGGCAAGAGGTGGAGCTGAGCCCACAACTGCAGTAAAACCAAAGCTTACTGGATTTACTGCGACAAAATCATGAACTATGTTAGTTTCGATACTTATGGTGCCTTCCAATGCTTTTACAACCTCAGACATTTGAGGCCTCCTTTTGCAATCGATCTGCAAACACCACATTGCAAATTTCATCATCTCTATTACTTCTTGCTCGTGTACTTGCATGTCATTATTATCTTTGTCAATCAAATCTACCAACTGATCACTCTTCACCTTTTCTTGCAATAAGGTAATTAGATGGATGCTCTGTTCAGACCGGGAAGTGTCAACATTCTTTCTTCCGCTGATGATTTCCATGACTACTATGCCAAAGCTATAGACATCTGCCTTTTCTGTGATCTGCGATGTCAGCCATTCAGGAGCTAAATATCCAGGTGTGCCTCTCATTCTTGTAATCACTTGGCTCTTATCTCGATCAATGAGCTTGCATAGTCCAAAATCAGAGAGTTTAGCATTGAATTTGTCATCCAGGAGGATATTTTGTGGTTTTACATCCAAGTGAGCAATTCTCTTTGTGCACTCCTCATGAAGGTATGAGAGACCTTTGGCTACTTGGGTAATAATTTTGTATCGTGTTTGCCAATCTAGAGGAGGAACACTAGGAAAAATAGCAGCACCTTGCTGGTGATAGATCCACCTGTCCAAGGAACCTTTGGGCATATGCTCATAAACCAAGAGCCTCTGTGATTTCTCTGCACAGAATCCAATCAGCCTCACCAGATTGATATGGTGGATGCTGCCGATCGTCTGAACCTCTGCCAAGAATTCTCTCATCCCCTGACCATTTCGATCCAGGCGTTTCACCGCAACTCTTTCGTCTCCAATCTGTCCCAAGAAAACCGACCCAAATCCTCCTTCACCGAGCTTATCTCTGAACTGATCGGTTGCTTCCTGTAGCTGCTGAAATGTGAACCTCCTTGGCATTCCTTGAAGGGTTATCTCCTCAAGCTCCTGCTCCTCTTCACGTATCTCCCGGCGCCGTCGTGTTCTTCGCTTGATGCTGGTGTAAGCCATAACCATGGTGAGTACTGAAGTGGAGCCGATTACAGAAGCTATGATGATCCCGGCAATAACCTTTTTTCCTTGTCTGTTATTTGCAGCAACAGCAATTGATGCAGGAGATGAAGATGTGAGATCAATTGGGGGGCAGAAGATGATCTGGTAATTTGTACCTGACGGGCAAGTGAACCCTGGGCTGGATGCATCGTTCCTGGAGTAGCTATAGGCGTCCGGGCACATCCTCACAAATGGCAGCGAGTAGGTGGTGGGTTCGCAGGTGTTCGTCCCGTTGCCAGTGCAGCAGTATTTGTCCTGCTTGAACACTCTGCACGCGCTGTTGCAGCCTCCATGAGCTCTGAGCTCGCCGGGGCACTGTGCCGTGACGTTGGCCGGACACCGTGGCCCCTTGCTGCACGGCGGTGACTGATCCGGCGGCGGCGCCGGGAGGAAGTCCATGGGCACGTTGAAGCCGTCGACGAGGGAGATGTCGAAGAGGTCCTGGCCGTCGGCCTGGCCGAGCGAGAACTCGGCGAGCGTCTGCGGCGGCTCGCCGTAGCCCGTGCACGACAGCGCGCCGCCGCAGTCGCCCGTCAGGCACGTCCCGTTGGCGCCGGTGGCGTCGAAGGTGCAGCCCGTGCGCGCCCACACGCGGCCCGGGGCGGCGCCGGCGGGCACGTCGAGCGCCCACGACGTGCCCGGGTCGAGCCGCCTGCCGCCGCCCACCGGCACGGCGGCCGGCCACACGGTGAAGGGGCATAGGTTGGTGATGTTCAACGTGGCGGCGGCGGCGGCGTGGTTGGTGGTGGTGGTGGCGACTATGGCAGCGAGGAGGAGTAGAGGTAGGAGATGGTGAGTGCAACAAGTAGACACTGCCGCCATTTGTGTCATGGATTCATGGTTCGGTTGCCTTTGGATTAGAAAGTTTTTTAGCTGTAATTAACACGTCTCTCTCTTCTTCTTTTTTTTTGACAGAATTAACAGGTTGATCCGGCTGACTCTAGCCACTAAAGTCATAGCATGATTTCAGCCTCACCTCATATCCACCACTTGTTTACCTCGTCCAACTGATCAGGTTTCTCAGCTCATCAGCATCTCTAAATGCACTGTCTCGGTCTCAGTCTTCTACTTAGTATTTTTGTTTAGTATTTACTATTTCCATCCGTCCCATTTTAAGTGCAATCATGAGTTTCCACGCTCAATTTTTATCGTCCGTCTTATTTAATTTTTTTTTTATAATTAGTATTTTTGTTGTTACGAGATGATAAAATATGAATAGTACTTTACTCGTGGCTTATATTTTTATTTTTTTTTTCAAAAATTTTTAAATAAGACAGACGATCAAAGTTGGGCGTGGAAAACCATGGTTGTACTTAAAATGGGACAGAAGGAGTAGATGCTACACTTCAAGTTGAAATAATGAAAGCATACCATGTTTAGACACATGGAATTATAACCTTTAAATTACAAAGCTCACCACCTATAATTGAAAAACTATGTCAAACCAATTAGTACAAATTTGAGCATAGTATATATAATGGTCAATATGTTCTAGTAGTATGCTGCTCTCCATTCACCAAAACTTTGTTTTGTTTTCCCGATGTATAGTGGTCACTATGTTCTATATATGGTGCCAAAACCACTGACCGCATGCTGTTTTCACTTAATAATAATTAAAACCAAAGCCTCACGTCGTATATATAGTGCCAAAGCTACCTGCTGCTTGAGTTGAACGATGGATAAGAAGAGGCCATGACCGTATCCATGGTCTACATGTTGAACAAGCTCGACGGCCTACGGTCAACCACCTATACCATGTTACGAGTAGTGACTGTTTTGCTTCTTAATTTACTCTCGTTTTCATGTGCCAGTAATTTTGGTCATCAAGAATTTCTTAATTAATTTCGTAGTCGAGGCACGGACGCTTGACATGTCGCCAACAATGGGAGCCAAAATGTCTCCTTCGCCGCGACGTTGTGATTGGGACGTCCAAATTTTGTGATGTCGATCATTTCTCAAGGTCTTGGAGCAACATGGATGTTTTCTAGTATCGTCAAGCAATCCAGATCCTCTGCTGCTCACTGACATGTGGGCCCGAGGGTCTGTGGGGCCCACATGTCAGTGAGCAGTATTGCTCGCACTTAAGTTTGATGAGCGAGATTGCTACGAACCAAAGAATGGTATTCAAGGCTACAATAAGGGCAGGCAGAATTAAAAACGTGCCTTAGATACTGCTTTTCTATTCATGTGGAGGATTATGGTTGTAGATGCTGTGGTTATACTCCGGCGAGCGACGGAGGCCGGCACGCGAGAAGATGGCCGGCGGTTCAGTTTGACAGCGACTCGCTCACTGTGCCGCTCGGCCAACGTTTGCACGAATTTTTTTTATTTATACTTTTTTTTATTAAAATATTTACAAAAATAATTTTTTGTTTCGAAAATTTACAAATCTAATCGCCTGCCGCCCTCAAGAAGGGCGATTTTTAAAAATCGCCCTTCCACAGGGCGGCAAGGGACCTAAATGTAAATTTTCCAGCATAACTTGTTAGCTCTATAATTTTACAATTTAAAATTATATTATATAAAGTCAGATGAAATAAAACTTTATATCAAAATTGTAGAGCTCAAGGAGATCTACAACTTTGTAGTTAGTAACTTTTTCATTTAAGATGTTTTAGATATCCAAATATTCGTTACAAAATATAAAACACATTTTAAAAAATCTCAGATCTATATTTCAAACGATATTGGATGGAGATAAACTTTATATAAAAGTTGTAGATCTTGATGAGATCTATAACTTTGTAGTTTATCACTTTTCCATTTAAAATCATTTGGAGTATCGAATAAGCATTATTAGTTTTTAAGTAATTAAAACCGGTGGGAAGGGTTTGAACACAAATAAAAATTTTGTATTTAGGTCCCTTGCCGCCCTTTGAGAGGGCGATTTTTAAAAATCGCCCTTCTTAAGGGCGGCAGGCAATTAGATTTGTAAATTTTCGAAACAAAAAATTATTTTTGTAAATATTTTAATAAAAAAAAGTATAAATAAAAAAAATTCCGTTTGCACGGTCCTGATGAAGGCCCAAACCCTTAGGCCCAGTTTTTACCTGCCACAGTACCATGGCGAGCTTTTGGTGGGCTGCGTGTGGTGCCTGCACATTACTTTGGGCCGAAAAGAATTGAAAAGGGAGATTGTTGAGGCCCATGAAAACTGCACAACGGCCCAGCATTCCCCAGATAGTGCAGGTTTAATTATGGGCCTGATGAATTGTGCTTTACGGGCTTTGGTTGGACCGGAAGGGGTTCTCACTCGCTTGTGGCCCAGAATGGGATTACGTGGCTGTAGAAAATTATGGCAGACGTTTTTGGAATAATTAACTATTTGCCACATCTTAAAAGTGGCAAGGAGTTAAACGTCCTGAGGTTTTCACTGGTCACCCTAAAAAGTAGCATCCACCTGCTAAAAAAAAGCATCTAAATCTACACAAAACATGCCACCAGTCTCCAGAACTCAAATTCCATGGAAGCACATGTGTTGTAACAAAGATGTCCTCAAACTAGACCAAATTTCTGGTCAGGTCAAAGTCCATCAATCAAAACTCCTATATTATTACTTCCTTTTTATGCAGTACAATCAGGGTCGTGTACTGATGAAAAATCTAGCAACCTGAAAATATCAACGAGGAATTCTTCTTAGTCCTACTAATCTTCATATTAACCTCTTACCTCTACAAGAGTCAAGAAACATCCCCTGTTGTATAAGCACGAACTGAATATATATTTTTTTTAAAGGAAGGCAAAAGCTTTGCCTTGTATATATTAATAGAGCAGGAGAAAATTATAGCAAGATATATACAGGGATAGATGAAAAAAAGCGAAACAAATAACCCGCAAAAAGATGAGGCAAAAAGCAGGGCACGAACTGAATATATACGTGGGCAGGAATGTCAAGTCGCTATCCTAGTTTGCTTCAGTCATCCTCTGAGATTGCACTTGACTTTGATGAAGAATTGCAGCAATCATCCATCTCAGAGATGTGATCATCCACACCAAAGAAAGGTCTCGGAGGTACCTGCAGGTTATCAGGATCATCAGATTCGAGCATCTCCACAACCTCGCTCATCGAAGGCCGTTCAGCTGGTTTCATCTGAATGCACCAGAACCCAACAATGCACAACTTCCTTTCTACCCAGTGGATACCAATATCCTCTGAAATCTCGCTCACTTCTTGTTGAGTTAGGCAATCATACACCAAAGCTGGGTAATAAAGATGGGCTGAGTTGGATGTATGCTGCTCCCTGTTCCTCCTACCACCAGCAATGTCCAGCAATAACATCCCAAAGCTGTAAACATCAGCCTTGCATGAAATGGTGCCAAAGCTTCGAGATATCATCTCAGGAGCGATGTACCCTATCGTTCCCCGTGCAGCACTCACCGGCACCAAGCTGTCGTCCCTTGGGTATAGCTTGGCCAGCCCAAAGTCGGCGACTTTTGGAGTGAAGTTGCTATCCAGAAGGATGTTGTGTGGCTTGATGTCAAAGTGCATGATCTGCATATCACAACCATGATGCAAGTAGTCGATCCCTCTAGCAATTCCTAGAGCAATCTCATTGAGCTTGTCCCAAGATAGACTCTTCTCGGGTGAGAAAATGTACTTGTCTAGAGATCCACAGGGCATGTACTCATATACAAGAGCCCTCCTAAGTTCCTCCGAGCAAAATCCAACAAGGCGCACCACATTCACATGGTGTATCCTGCTAATGGTGGAAACCTCGCTGATGAATTCTTCTCCATTGCACATGGAGTTGCTCAGCATCTTGATAGCAACATGACCATCGCCAGGAAGGAAACCTTTGTACACAGAACCATAGCCCCCCTGGCCTAGCTTCTCCCTGAAATGGCCTGTGATTGCAGTGATTTCTGTGTACGCATACCTCTTTGGACCATGAGCTTGCTGCATTCGGAGAAACTTCTCTACTGCGTCGATAGATATCCTTGTTTTCCGGTATTTGTAACCGAGGAAGGTCAAAACAGTCAACGGCGCCAAGATGAACCTGCATAGTACTGCAACATGAAGTGAATAAGAATCTATGGATAAATTGGGTGTAATTATAATAGTTTAGATTAAGGCATATCTGGAGTACCTATAATGCACTTAACAATCTCTACGGCAAATACCAGAACGAGAGTAACCCAAACTTGCGTGGCACTAGAGTAATAATTAATTACACATCCTAAAAATTGTAGCTCGGTCCCAATAATGGCAGAAGTCCAGTTTTGAATGTTCCTACTATACATTTGCTCCTTAAAGTTTCTGCAGAATTGCAAAAGAGGATATATATATTTTTTATAAGATGATCAAACAAGCAAGAGAAAGATACAGAGCTAAAACTCACTGGAATGTATCTCTCGCACAGGCTTTGATGACTGGAGAATGACTTGGGGATTCAACTCGAGGAAACGAAACAGGAAAACCATTCCTCATGAATTTCACAACATCTGCATAGCTTGCATAGTCTGGTACATTCTTTGTACGATCATCCACAGGAATCACAGCCAAGTATCCACAAGAAGGCTCGATGTTTTGAACATAGTAAGAGCTCGATGTAGTCAAGACATAAACAAAAGAAGTATTCCCACTCAAGCAAGCAACAGGCATGTACATGCCATTGTTTATCGCCCGTGAGCAATTTAGAAATGTAGCCCACCGAACTGCAGAAGTGTACAGCTTAGTGCCCATGTCATTGAAGTAGGGAAGATTATTCCACAGTGGAAGAGGGCAACTGCTGTTGTCTAAATTAGCATCAACAACCCAAAATCTAGACTCGTTATAGGAGATGTCTTTCACAAAATATTTTCCTGTGTTGATGTGAATTATAGCTCTGCCATCTCTACAGACTAGCTCATAAGCTTCATCACCACAGCCAAGTGGATCACCTTGTAAACGGAAAGGGTACCTGATACCTTCAAGATGTCCACAGGAGAAAGGAACGCAAGCTGGTTGTTCTTGAAAATCAGCAGCTCCACTCTTAGTAACAAGAACCCCAAGAACAGCTAGTATACTCAAGCTTTGAAAGATACCAGGGAGAAAGAGTGCACCAGAAATGGCCATGGTCAGCTTCAGAAATTCATGACCCAACAAGTGTGATAAACTGAAAACAATACGGATGGGAAGGCCGCATATGAGGCAATTAGGAAAGTGTTATGAGGTTGAGGATGGGACTGGGAGAGAGGATGGAATGATGGATAAAGTCCAAGTTTGACCTGAGTCAAAGCAGTGTGTACTTTTTTGGGGGAAGTAGTCAAAGCAGTGTGTAATACATTGTTGACCAGATAGAATGAAGCACATGGGTGCACACAGGCTTGGACACTAACTTCCAAAGCAGCGGTCCATTAGTCCACAATCTCATCCCCTTTTTAAAGAAAGAATTAGATAATATTGCTGACGAGGACTGCACTCACAGAATCACAATGGGGTCATCACAACACGGCATTAGGACCCAACAATAGATAGTTGATAGTTCTCACCATCTGTTCTGTACTTCCAGCCTCACCTTCAATCGACACAGAAGATGCACAGATTTCTAGTGACTGCTCTACTCTTCTCTCTTCTCAACTATGGAGCCGTCATGGCCACAGAATCGGACGAGGCAGATTTCTTCCGAAACTGTCCGCCATCCCGATGCAGCAGTGATGGACCAGACATCAAGTTTCCCTTCCGGCTTGAATCCAGCTCTTCATCTTGTGGTGCTCCAGGAATGCAGTTATCATGTTCTGGGCAAGATACTCTCCTACTGCACCATGTTCTTGGCCTATCGAAGGTAACTGGAATAGACTATATATATGGTGTCATCAACATCGTCCCTCTTGCAGAGTCATGGTCACAGTGCGCACTTCAGAAGATAATTTCTGCAAATTATTCAACCAGTGTGTACAAACAATATGGGTTCCAATATGCAAGTCTTGTAAGTTGTTCAGAAGAGTTCATATGGGACAGTACAGACAGCATTTTTGGCCCGATTTCTTGCCTCAGCAATGCAAGCCAGTCCCTGTACTTGGTAGCCCCTTATGCATTTGTGTCAATTCTCCCGTTATACTGCAAAGTGGTTTCGACAGAGATCATGATACCCTACACTTCCAATCAAGGCAGAAAGGATTATAATGCAAGCGCAAGCACAGAGTTTAACGAAAGTGCAAAAAGAATTACTACATTCTCTGAGATAACATTCACTTGGTCAGCTCCTAATATCACTGATGTTTGCATCGACTGTGAACGACAACAGCGGCTCTGTGGATTCAGTTCACAAAGGAGGACAGCATTCTGCAAACCTCATGGTATCAATTTTCTGAGGAAAAACATGATATACTCATTATTGATTTCTATGATCTGCAGATTTAACTATTTGGTATGAAAAATCTAAATGATTTGAAATAAAAGCACAACCTTTACTTCCATTTATTACTTATTTTCTTCTTGTTTCCTAGTACTTTAGAATTTGATCTCACATACTTTTTAATTCTTGTCATGGGATATATTCTCTGTCATGTAGTTCTAGCCGAACACTTGATCAACACATTTGTGGGCCTAGAAAGTCATAATCCTGCGAATTGTCTTGACAACTGTATGCCTCTTATGAGTTATGTGCAGCTACAAGTGCAAGCTTAATATGTTTTACTGTACCCTGGCCTTTTTTTACTGTTCTGACTAATATGGAGCAACATATTCCATATGTTTGTGTATCTGAGTATAGGGTGGATCTAATTCTTTACTTTTCTATCTGCAGGTTCAAAATCACCTGCCAAAGTTATCATAGGTAACAGTTCATCTTAAGCTCATTCTTTTGTAATTTTAATTCCTTGTTTCTCCAAGGATAAATAAGGATAGTTGGTACTTTTTATAAATGTTCAAAACAACTATACAAGTTGCTAACTTCCTTCATTATGATTTACCAGTGGCAGTATCTGTACCCACAATTGTAGTACTTACACTGGTGGTGGCCTCTGCACTCTATCTGTCTCTTAAAACCAAGAATGACGATGAGATACAACTGAAGGTTGAAATGTTTCTCAAGACATATGGCACATCTAAACCGACAAGATACACATTCTCTGAAGTGAAGAGGATTACAAGACGGTTTAAACATAAACTAGGCACAGGTGGATTTGGAAGTGTATATAAAGGTGAGCTGTCAAAAGGAGTACCTGTTGCTGTAAAGATGCTTGAGAACTCAAAAGGAGAGGGGGAAGAGTTCATCAATGAAGTAGCAACCATAGGGAGAATCCATCATGTCAATGTTGTCCGCCTCTTGGGATTTTGCTCCGAAGGAACAAGGCATGCTCTTATTTATGAATTCATGCCTAATAATTCACTGGAGAAATATATATTCTCACGTGATTATATTAGTTCTCAAGAAGTCCTAGTTCCTGACAAGATGCTCAAAATAGCATTAGGAATAGCCCAAGGAATTGAGTACTTACATCAAGGGTGCAGCCAGCGCATCCTCCACTTTGATATCAAGCCTCACAACATTTTGCTAGACCACAGCTTCAGCCCAAAGATTTCGGACTTTGGCCTTGCAAAGCTCTGCGCAAGGGATCAAAGCATTGTCACATTGACTGCAGCAAGAGGCACAATGGGTTACATTGCACCGGAACTATATTCTAGGAACTTTGGCGCGGTATCTTACAAGTCAGATGTTTTCAGTTTTGGCATGCTAGTGTTGGAAATGTTGAGCGGAAAGAGGAACTCAGATCCAAGTATCAACAGCCAAAATGAGGTTTTTGTTCCAGAGTGGATATATGAGACAATAGTCAGTGCGCAAGAGTCAGAATTTGCCAAGGATATGACACAGGAAGAGAAAGAAAAGTTGAGAAAGCTGGCCATTGTGGCGCTATGGTGTGTTCAGTGGAACCCAGCAAACCGGCCCTCCATGAGAAAAGTGGTGAATATGTTAACAGGAAGCTTGCAAAATCTGAAGAATCCCCCTAGGCCATTCGTCTCATCTCTAAGCTAACCTACACCAGAAAATCTGGCGAGCTAAATGTATCAGCATGTTACATACAAGTTGAGCATGTCATGATGTCCAGTCAGTTCTGAAAATTGCACTCTGAATGTAATATGTAGCTAGAACAATACTTCTATTTCCTAATCGATTTGTGAATTGTAAGCATGCAAAAATTGTTACTTCCTCCGTTTCATATTATAAGACTTTCTAGCATTGTCCACATTCATATGTATGCATATGTGTCTAGATTCATTAGCATATATATGAATGTGGGTAATACTAGAAAGTCTTATAAACTGAAACGGAGGTAGTAGTAAGCAATCCCATTGCACGGGAAGACAACTTTAGATTAATTAGCAGTTTAATTGAAAGATGGTAGTAATAAGTACTACCTTCGTTTCAGGTTATAAGACTTTCTAGCATTGTCCACATTCATATAGATGTTAATGAACCTAGACACACATATGTATCTAGATTCATCAACATATATATGAATGTGGGCAATGCTAGAAAGTCTTATAATATGAAACGGAGGAAGTAGTAACCTTTTGCCATGTCCAGATTATTAACCTCATGGATACACCGGTAACATTGACACCCATAAGTACCACCAAATCGACGCAGCCTGTGGTCTGCGGCCCAGTGATTGTGCAAGAAAATCACCAAAAACAAGATGGTCTGGCTAATTCCGCAACGAGTGATGCGTAATTTCATCATCGTCACTTGCATATAGTGCAACAATGCAAAGAACGCTTGCGAACCCACTATGAGGAGAGTAGTAGGGTACCGGGAGCCGGGAGGACCTCGACCTGCTCGGAGGCTGCCTGCCGCAGTAGCAGCAGCAGCATTGGTTTCGTTTGGTTGTAATGGTAGTCCGACTGCCACCGCCGTTGCCATACACGCGCCGCCCTAAGGAGAAGAAGGAAGAAGAAGAAGAAAGCGGATCAACTGTAGAGAAACTGCAAGCTGCTGCACATGAATGCCAGCCTCGCTGAAAGCACACCAGGTCGGCGAGGGCGAGGGGATCGGGGACCATGAGAAGTCGGGAGAGTGCCCCCGTGGCTCGCATTGAGCCGATCGACGCCGGCCACCACCGTGCGCTCCATCTCCGATATGATCCGCCTCTCCCTCCCCCCCCCCCCTCATCTGGAGAGCCGCGGCGGCGGCGGCAGCGGCGACGCCACGGTGCTCAGCCTCCGGCGGCGCCGGAGTCGAGAACGACGCCGCCACGGCCTGGCTTAAGCGGCCCGCGGCTGGAATTCTGGCCCAAGAATAAGATTTATTGGGTCGGAACGGGATCTCGGTTACATCTGGCCCAATAACGTGACTGAGACTTACGTAAGGCCCATTTTGGTTGGGCTCGTTGATAGATGAGGGCCCAAATCGACAAAATACAACCTCACAAAAAAAAAAAGGAAAACCCCATCCTCTTCCTTCCTCCGTGCGGCGCCGCCCCCCGCCACTGATCCCGCGGCCGGCGATCGATCTGGACTGGCGGCCGGTCCCTCTATGGATTTAGTTCGCCGGAGCGCCGCCGCGTCCTCCAGGAAATGCTCGTCGTTCTCCCTCCTCCTCATCGAGAAAGGTGAGCCTTGTTCGTTTTCTTCTCTCTTCATATCTTCAGTTTATCACACTACAAGTGCCTAACTACGTACAGATTTGTAGCAGTTCCAGTGACTCATCCATGAACGGTGGCATTACGGATCTCTAGGTCGGGTCGGGTGGCTGTTCTGCATACCATGATGTGTGGAGAAATGCGGCAGGAACGACAAATCGCTGTAAGAAACTAACCTCTTGACTCTTGAGCACATGATTGTTCATTGTATGCATCCAAGGCTTTGCCTTGTACATTGCATGATAGCAGTCACAAAGATAACTTAGTCGAAAAACAGATGCAATGAGTTAAATTACACAATGAAGTGAGCAGCGACCTCAGATTAAACCTGTCAAGTGCCAACTGCTGGGTTGCAAGTTATTTGAACATCTTATGGCATACTCAAGTATAGTCAAACCTAACTTGCATGAAACCAAACGTGGCATCACAGTAGCTATTTCTATGACGCACAAGTCTCAAACATCTTTGAGCCGTAGTAAATGTTTCCCTAGATTTGTGGCCTAGGGTGGCCCAGAGATGAAACAAAAGGCTTAGGGGGCATGGCTAAACTCTGCAAGCTTCCTGTTAGCATGTTGACCACCTTTTTCATAGATGGGTGATTCTTGGGGTTCCACTGTATGCACCATAACGCCACAATGGCCAGTTTTATTGCGTCTATTCCCTGGTTGCTTCCAGTTCTTGCCCAGTGATTATTTTCTCAAATATCCACTGCGGAATATAAACCTCATTTTGATTCCCGGACCAACACGCAGCAAGGAGAAGCCACCCGGCTTTGGTTTATAATCATCTGGTTGTTCCCCATCGTCTCCTCAGTCCCCTTCTTCGATGCTGTCATTTTTCGCCGGCGCCGTCATAGTCATCCATCCGGTGATGAAATTAGCCACCACTTGAAATTAGCACAGTCCCCTGTTCCAGCAGGCCAGCCCGTTTCCTGTGCCACAACAGGATCACTCTCCGTCTCCGCCTTCTTCAGGTACATATATTCTGAAACTCATAAAGCCTGTCGGAATTCATAACCAGTGCTTTATTATTTGTAATGCTGAAATTCTTTTTTTGCTAGATGTAGTCTGTTACATGCAACTGAGAGATTTATATGAAGCCATGAAATTAGTAAGAACAGATTCTTCTTGAGCTTGGTGAGCTCTCATAGAGTTGTAGATACCATATGAGAATAAAATTGTAAAACTTAATGCCTCCATGTTTTGTAATTAAACACTATAAACTACTGAAATTTGACCTATGTGAAGTAACACACGGAGTGAAACCATTTCCAAGGGATGAATTATATACTTTACTGTCCTTGCACACTACTTTCCTTATTTCCTAGTACAACATATCGCGCATGATGATTTTCGGGCCCAGTTTCCCTTATAAACTGGGTCATTGTCTCTTGTTTGTACAATTTCTCCCTCTCTTAATATAAAACCAGCAATGCTGGCTTAGGTTTCAAAAAAAAAAAGTTGTGAACAAATTAACCATATGCACATGAATAACAATCATTTGCACTTTATACTCTAAACCAACCAAGTTGCACTTCATCTTAGCAAATTATAACTAAGAAGTAAGATGCCAATAATATCACTAGGCATACCTGTGAACCAAATAGTGGACTACACTCATCGTGCAGGTGCAGGAAGCGCAATGCCTCGGCAATAACCAATGGTGATCTGTTCTTCAGCTTTGTTATCCAATCCGACAAGTGCAAACCCTCCTCAGAATCCACTGATTTTTTGTGCAATGCGGAAGTAATGTGATGCACATAAAGAAGAGTTAATTAGTTCGATCCATTCAGGAATATCCAAATAACTCAATTTCTTACAGAACATAAAAAGCAGCAGCACTCACAATTTGTCTTACATCCCTAAAATGTACTGAAAGCTAGATCCATGAAATGAAATGAAGCAGACAAGCCAGTCACATGGAACGGATCTTCTTAATTAGACCTGTCTGAGAACAAATAGTCATTGATCAACACATGTACTGCACATCATGTGAAAGGGAAATTTGGCTGTGTATATCCTTGTGGATATAGAGGCCGGATTAATGAAAATCCATTATCTAAAAAAATGTGAAAGGGAAATGGAAAGGGATGGAAGAGATTAATTTGGATGAACATCACCAGATGAGGAAGACGCTGGAGCAGCAACCTCCTCTCCGTCGGAAAGTCCGAATCGAGTATAAAGCTTCAGAATTTCATTAGTAGCTTGTTAACGTTGCTGCTGAAATTTGTGGGTACTCAAATAGTGTATGTAATGTACCTGCAGTTCTCCCGCTACAGGATGGATATGAAATATTATGGCGGGAGCATAGAGTTTAAATGCATCCTTAATAATTAAGCTTCTCTTCTGACACAAACACGTCTCATGCCAAAATGGAAGACAGAGGCACGGCAAAAACTGCAATTCAAGCCGTAGAGAAAAGGTATACAAATGGTGAATCTGTGAAACCATGTGTGGTTATAGTTCTTTTGTGATGGGAAATTGATAAGTACCGGAAGTGCAAGAAGTGTGTGCGTGAACTAACATTGGTCTGATTGCGACATCTGTGCCAAGACAACGGTTGTTTGGTTCATGTGTGTGCAGGTGATCGGGGTCGATCTTGGTCAACGGCGGATCGGGACTAGACTTAGGGAGGAGTTAAGGTCCAAAGTGATCGAGGATGCCGGGTGACAAGATTGGATATAAGGTTGCACACGGTGGACGGACACCGTGTGAGGAGGTTTTTGCAACGGACTTCGCAAGGTCAAGTGCAAGCGCCGTGTGTCGCGAAGAAAATTGGAAGAGACAAAGACGTGCAGCATGCATGTGTGTCATGATCACATACATGGATCGGTGGTGCAGCCAAGGCATGCATGCACTAGGGACAGTGCATGGCCATGCACACGGCAAGCTGGAGCTGTGTGTGTGCACGTGGCCAAGTGCCATTCACGGCTTGGAGGGCCAGGCCGAGGAGGCCCAAGACATGACGGCCCAACACGGCGTGCGCGGGTGTGGAACTCACGTGTTTTCGGCGACGCGGAAGGAAGCGACTCGCGCGGGAATTTGGATGGAGCGCGCGGGAAGCAGAGCGCGCGGTGCGCACTGAAGGACGGCGACGTGGCGGCTTCGGACTGGGCACGCGGACGAGCGCGCGGGCTCGCGTGCGTGGGATTTCGACGGACAACGTGGCAAGCTCGGATTTGTCAAGAGGAGAAGGCACGGATTGATACCTTCGGATCAGTGTGGAGACTTCGGATCGATGACGTGGATTTCATCTGGAGGATTTCCTTTGAGGAGAAGTAAGAACAAATGGCTGGGATTTCATCTAGGCTAGGGCATCACCCTAAGGGCATTTGAGACAATGTCTTGGGGGTCTTAGACTATAAATAGAGAGATGGATGCAAGGGTGGAGGTTGCTCCTTTTGGTAATCCTTTTGAGATGTTCAGTGAGAGAGTTTCCGTGTGAGTTTGGAGTGTGTTTGCCCGAGAGGCTTTTGTATTAGGATTAGTTTGGAGTGTGTTTGTCCGAGAGATTTTAAGTTTGTGTTAATGTTTCTCTGAAGGTGTATGTCTGCTCCTAGTTGAGCGGTTATTTTGCATCACCTATGAATGAAATGATTTGAAGGATTTCGTTTTTGCCTTGTTCATTTAAATTCCGCAATTTAAATTCCGCTTGCAATTTAAACTTTGCGATTATGAGTTTTGTTCTCTCCTCCTCACCTCTCTTGTAGTTTCGGGAATTCCTTTTCTCTTCCTCTTCTAGTTTCGGGAATTCCTTCTCTCTTCTTTTCTAGATCCGGCTTCTCTAATAGCCGTGGTTCTAGTAAGGATTTTGAGAAATCCAGCTTGATGAGTATTTTCGGGGGCAAGATTTGAATTGCTATATTCACCCCCCCTATAGCCGTTCTTGGTCTTTCAAAATCAGCTGCTGAAACTAGTAAGAATCAACGCAGTTATACATAACAGAGAATGCTTAACCGTTTACCAGAAATTTGATCTGATGATGTGTTGCAGAGGCGCCGGAGTTGTAGGCAAGAAATCATCTGTTATCCAGTTTGACAAATTACATGAGTATAAATTTGACTCCAGAAAAAAACATGAACAGCGCAGGAAATGGATGCAGGATAGGGAAGAGGTAGCAATGTAATATTGGGAGGCTTGCCTGCAGCACGACGGAGTAGACGGCATCAGTGAACCCAGCGAGCCCGAGGGACATGAAGATTTCAACTAGCCAGCATCGGCAATAACTCAAATTGTGGAACGGGGTCATTACAACCTTCACATGAACAAACTGATGGATGAATAAACTCCCCGCAAAAAAAAAAAGATGGATGAATAAATTTCTATCTCTGTCTTATGATATGAAACGGAGAAAGTATATAAACAGCAAGCAGAGACTCTTCTCACAACTAACCATAATTTGCAGTAGGCATACGCCTGTAGGTATCAGACCTCCAGATGCTCCTGATAAATGATGATGTGCTTATATCATACTAATGTGCATCATGAAGCACAATTTCCAGAATGGAGAGTTTGGTTATGCGTTGGTTTTCGATATATATACCATGCAACATACGTACAAACTGTTTTGCCCTGTTTTCAACGGAAACGAAGCTCAACATATTATGAGGACAGAAGAAAATATTTCCAAATTGTATTAAGAAAAATAAGAATGTGGATTCAGAAAAAAAAAAGAACTAGATTTTGTTTACTAACGTTCAGAGTTGTGCGCATGGATCAATGGATGACATCTGATTCTCACCCGACACACACATTGTGGTGGACAAAAGCAATGCTGATGCCGTATAGAGCCCTAATAACCAAGGGGACAGGGTGGAAAGAGTTAATAAGCCGTCAAATTACAGTTACAGAATAGTACTCATCTGGTAATGCAGATTAACAAACAGGATTTACCATGGTGGAGAATGTATGTATCTAGTCGTCTGATTCTGAGTAGTATCTTTCTTTCTCTTCTGTGAATCTTTTGCTTTCCTCTTCGAGTGCGCTGCTGCAGATAAATACTGAAAACGTTTCTAGGGAAGTTGGGAGGCCATTCTTTGGAAGCGATTGGATTTGAGGACAATGGCTGATACTTAGCTCAGTGAGAGAAGGAAACTTATGTAACCCTTCAGGGAGGGACTGCAGAACCCATAAACCATCAAATGATAGTTTTTTGAGGGAGACAAGTAGCTCAAGTGCCCCCTCTTGTTCGTCGCTGAAGCTTGAGACCCTGTCAACATCGTCTTTGATGCCTAATTCGTGAAGAGTAGGGGCGAGGAAGCTGCATATGGGAGCAGTAAGCACTGCCGATATGCTGTCCACCACAAGATCTTTCAATTGGAAGGCAACTTGAGGCATTGTTGTTTTGGTCCTTGCCATCTCGGCGAGTAGGTCCGCGGGAGCAGAGCCACAAGAAGAGATGCACAGCTTGTTCAGATTTGATGTGATAAGAGGATTAAATCCATCCATTGTTACATTGCAGCAATCTATTAGTTGTAGACTGGTGAGAGCTGTGAGGTTTGAGAGCAAAGCCATTGAATGTATTCTTGACTCTCGGCAAATGCTAAGTTCGAGGAGGGAAGAAGGGAAAGGGTTACTTGTTGTTTGAGCTGGTTTTCCCATGTACCACTGAGAGAATATTTTGCCACAATCATCTATATGTAAATTTCGGAGCGACGTGAGATTGACAAGTCCTTGTCCATCATCAAGAGGCGGCAGAATCAGGTTCTTGCACTTAAAAAGCCGGATCGTCTTGAGTGAGCAGGAGGATGGGATCTGCAGTTTTACCTCCTCATGGCTCTCTTTGGAAGGTGACATAGACAGCACATAGAGAGCTGGGAAGCATCTGAACAAATTTGACAGCATCTTTCTTGTAAGTAAAAATCCAGAGAGATTGAGGACTCTAACTGAATTGAATACGACTACAACATGCTCATCCAGTCCTCTCAAGAACGTATCCCTGCAAAGCGTAACCGTCAGCCTCCGTAGGGAGCGTAGCTGCTGGAAATCTATTAATGACATGTTATGTACATCTCCAATGTAGATCTCCTCAAGATTACCCAGATTTTGGAAGGCCAAAGCACCATTGTAGCCGTCGAGTGTCAACTTTTTGCTAGTATTAAAACCACGAACGGAATCATTTACACGAACATATGTCAGTGTGGAGGTGTGAGGCACAAGAGGGACAGACAGCTCCAAGCACCGGGTAATGTTCAAACGGCGCAGCTTAGGAAACCACATGGTACAAGATGAGCTAGAGCAACTCGATAATGGCAACTCATTAAGCTTGGGACAAGAAATGCAGTCGAGCCTTTCAAGTCCTGAGAAGAAAGAATGGGAATTATCGTCTCCCCCAACCCACTTTACAAAGTCTGGCATAGCCTCAAACACAATCTTCTTCAGGTGTCTAAAACTAGTGTGTGTGGTACATCCCAACGATATTTCTTAGCTTGAGCTCCCTAAGATATTGTATTTTCCCAAACGGTGCAAGAGTGGCCCAAGGTACACCATCTAGGTGGAGGGTATCCAAGTGGATGATGTTGCTGCCCAACCAACTTGGAGCCATGCCACCACCAAGATTTACGATGCTTAGTTCTGTAAGATTAGAGTGCGGTTGAAGGCTATCAAGAATAATATCATCGTCCTGATTTTCATTGCTAACAACTTGTGTCCTGGAGGAGGAGGAGGATGTATTCTTCTCTCTATTACCACCACGATCTAATCGCAACTTGCTTAGGTTACTTTTATGCTTCAATTTAGCTTCAATAGCTTCTTCCCTAGTTGCATTTTTAAGGCCAAATATACAGAGCTCCCCTCTAAGCTGTTCCAACTGTCCCAGTTGTGCCAGTTCAAATCCAATCTTGTCTTTCTTGACATGGAATTCTTTGAGCTCTTGTAAACACTTCATTTTCCCAACCTCAGGAACATTGGAATGGAATTCTTTTTTAGCAAGAAAATGGCGTAGGTTTATAAGGCGGTTAAAGTCGTTAGGCAAATTATTGTTACTACCACCCCAGGATTTGAGATCCAAGAATTTCAAGTGATAAAGCTTGGACACTGTGCTAGGAATACACACTTTGAACCCCCACGGTGATCCAATTTTTAGGTAGCGGAGGTGGACAAGTTTCGAAAAGTTATCAGGCAAGGAATGTGGGGAATTCATAAATATGAAGAGAACACGAAGTGCCCTTATTTCATTTAACGTGTCTCTTACCACATTAGCAATTCTTCTACTTCTGTAACTTCCAAAGATCATCACACTACGCAAATTTCTAATGTCAACCCTTTTCTTTATTTTTTCCATTTCCTCTTTAAAACTCTCAGTATATTTATCTTGTATGGTAATGGACAGATGGCGAATAGATGGAAGGATGTCATCAGCTCTAAAACTAGAGTAATTTATATTTGCGCATTCTCTTGATGAAACAATCTGCGAAAGTTCATGCAGTAAGTCATGCATTACGTAGTGATTATCATCCCCTTTCATTAGAAAACCATTATCGTATAGTTCATTCAAATACTGTGATCCAATGCCCTCAATTGTATCATTCTTACCACTGGAATTGATGATACCTATTGAGTCCCAATAACAACTAATCTCTAAACTATCAAACTCATAATCCTCAGGGAAAAGGGCAAGATATGAAAAACATTTTTTCAAATAAAAGGGGAGGTAGTCATAGCTAATTTTCAAGGCAGTGATAATACTATCATCGCCATCCTTTTGTTTTAGCCATTCTTCCTTTTCAAGAATTTCCATCCAATGTTTCCTGGTGGGTTTCTTACGCAATAGTGGTCCAACTGTTTTGGCAGCCAGTGGGGAGCACTTCAACTTCTTTGCTATTTGTTTTCCAATGTCAAATAATTTTTCTTTATCATTGTCATCTTGGGTTTCACTAAATGCACACAGTTGAAAGAAGTCCCAAAACTCATCAGGCTCCAGCCCATGTAGATCAACTTGATTGGCTCCTTTCTTGACTGTTTCTGCTACCTTTGGGAACCGAGTTGTGACCAGAACCATGTTGCCATTGGTCTCTCCCGGTCCAAATGGAGCTAACAACTTTTCCCACTCAGTCTTGCTAAATCTTTTTGTGGATGCAGCCTTACTAAAGTCGTGTTCCCATATATCATCAAAGACGATTAGAAACCTTTTGGATTTCAACTTGTCTTGAATGGATTTATGAAGCTGATCTAAACTGGATTCTCTAATATTGGTCCCTTGGCTTTCAGTTGCATTTAGGGAGTTAAGGATTTTTGTGGTGAGCTCAGTGACATCAAAGGTAGTAGACACACAAACCCAGATCTATTCCCACACTGGATCTGTCAGCCTCCTCTTGGGGTTGGGCATCTTCCAGATTCTTGTTACCATCGCTTGTCCCTGGTGAGGATGGTGGCAGAGGGCCATCATTACGCCCATCTTCATGACTCATGGGGGATACTGTCAGATTTGGGCGTGGAGGGGAATTTCGCAAATCTGAAGGGGGTGGTGACAAACATATGGTGTCGTCCAAAATGTGATATTCATCTTGAGCTATGACCTCGTCACTTACATCCTTAGGATTGTTGTTAGGATTCTCATATATGTCCTTCACAAGTTTTTTGCGATACATTAATACATCATTCTGCATTTTTTTGGGCATAAAAAAGGAACAAACATGAGTTATGAATTGTCTAGGACTTTTAAAAGTAGCCAAAACTGTTAGTTGAATAGTTGAATAAAAGGCGTTACACTAACCTCATTGATGTCATCTATTTTCATTCTACCAAATCGTTCCATATACAGCAGCATATAGAATCCACAATCGGATCTGCAATAATCATTTGCATAGTTAAGAATTTCGATCATTGACCATTTAATGCAAGGGAACTGATAGCATCGGTTATAAGTGAAGGATAACCCAGCATAGGAAAACTTGACAACAGAATCATATGATAATTTCTAAGGTAATTTCATATGAAAATTATTAAGTGAGGAAAGATAAGCTCTAAGTGAAGATGAAGAATTACCCATTCGTTTGGCTCTTAAGGTTTGGTGTTTTAGTGCTGAATGAAGAAAAATCAATATGTCCTCCCTTCGCAAAATATTTTTCCAACGCCGATAGCTGAAAGAATGCAATAAGGTGAGCTTCCATATGCACCCTTTGTAGAACATTTTATAAGTTGAAAAGTCATCTTCTTAATCTTACCACAGTTTCCGTCGCACTTCTAGTGCCCCGTGATGGAAGGGAATCCAGTATATACCTTATTCCATTCTCAATGTCCACCACGAGCAAGTACCAATGTAAACCAGAACCATCCAAAGCTCGAATGAGGATAGGGACAAATATCTGGAAAAAAATAAACTTTGTTTAATTCATGGCTTAATGCAAGAAACGGAACAGGATGGCAGAAAAGCACAAACCTGCTTCTTTTTGGCTAGGTTAGACAACTCCTTTTCCACATAGCCTCTGATTAGGGTTAAACCCAACAGTTCATTCTGGACACAATAGAAGATATGGTGAACGTTGACAATATAAAACATGTATAGACATTACATGTGCTTAAATTGATACTTACCACAGCAGATTGACTAAGGATTATTTTGTCTTTCCATTCTTCCTCCTCCCTCCATATGGAGCATTGCACGTCCACAATGAAGTTACTTATCCATCCATTCAGTTTCATGCTTTTTACAAAATCATGTTCTGCAATGGTAATGCCATTAATATCCACCGCAGCCTTATTGCCGAAATGTTTCTGTTCCCAATCGGCTTTTGACATAATGTGTTTTGAATAGAACTCATCCAAATCTTTATATCTGAAAAAAAAACCAAGCCTTTATTAAGAAAACTGTGTTATAGTAAAGGGGAAAAAAACGAAAAGGATAATCCCTCACGGCATGCTTAGTCAGATCTGACCCATTCTCACTACTGCCCCACACTTCATTCTTGCCAACCCAGACCCAGCCAACATACTCTCTCTCCAATCAGTCCCCCGATATGGCAAAGCTCTGGGAGGACCTATTCCTTATCCACTGAAGAAACTAATCAAGACATGGCACTGGAGAGATGGAAGTGTGCTCGTGGGTTGAACAACAGAAATCAGAGAGGAGCCTAAAATGGTTTTGGAACTTTAAGGACCAAATATAACTGGTATTGCTCATGAGAGACTAACCTGTCTACCAAGCTTTCCATTTTCGAGGGCATCTGTGACTGAGTCTTCATGATCTTCTCATACATCTCTACAATCGACGAATGATTTTGCTTTACAATCTTGATAGCGTCGCTGTGCAGATAACGAGGCATGTGCTCCAAAGAAGATTTAACAAAATCCTCTAATGCAGGAATGTGCGCAACCATGTCGTTCTTGGCACCACTGTCTTTCTCAGCTCTCTCACCATATCTTTTCACAACTTCCTTTCTTCTTACCGCGGGGTTGACATGCGTGCCCTTTTCTTCTTTATCCCCTTTTTCGCCTTTGTTTTTGCCAAGACGAGTGCGCTTATTTTTCTGAAAAGGAGCAGGGATAGTGTATTCAAGTGTATGTATTATATAGGAACAATGATATGTTGAATTTAGAACCAATATTCTTACATACTTTCTGCTTTCCAGACACTTTCTGCACCTTCACCTTCTCACATTCATTATAGCTTCTTGAATAACAGGTCTCTTCGGTTGTGCGAAACTGAAAATGGGGCATGGATTAAGTGTGTTTGACTGTAACATTACAGGAACAATGGCATAATGCTTAAAAATCAGATTCTTACCTTGAGGTTGTCAAACCTCTTGCCATCCTTTTGCATAGTTTCCTGCACCAAATCGGTCACCATAGATTCGCCGTAGTAACAAATTCTTGGCGTCTGAGAGACATCGCTTTCGGATTTTGACTTTAGGAAGTCCAAGTAATATAACTGTAGGCATAAGTTTACCGTTAGATAAATTTACTATTAATGATGAAAAAATAATGGTTTTAAAGATACTTACAAGAAGCACAGTCACAGGACCACTTATGTATACAGACGCGACACCACCAGGCTTGGTTGATTTGGCACCAGGCTTGGTTGATTTGGCTTGCGATTTCCACCATGATTTAACACCATCTTTTAAATGGTTGAGAAGAACCTTGCGCCAATTAATTCTTTGTATCCTTGCAAGGTTCATACCCGCTTGCATCTGGTGTAGAGTGAGATAACCATCCTTTTCTGGGAGCAGCAGTGTATGGAATGCGATGAAGAAGAAGCACTTAACTTCCAGCTCAACATCTTTGGTCTCCTTGGCTTCTTCCATCACATCACGTAAATAATCAACGCCAATCTTGCCATTCATAATAGTTTTATGTTTTCTATCCCTTTTCTTTTCATCTGCAATGGGCTCACAATCATCAACACTGTCAGGGAGCTTCAACAAATTGTGAACAGCTTTCTTGATTTCTCCTTGCTTCTTAGTGTCCTGCTCAAATTCAAGGCTCTCACCAGAACCTTCAGGAACACCAACAACATGTGCCACCACATTCTCCGTGATGGGGGGTAACTTAGATCCTTCAATCTTAATCTCAACACCTTCAGATGTTTGTTCTGTATGTGTATTGTTCATAAGAAACCTCAATATCTCTCTGTTACCAAAACCCTCTAAGGACATATACAGTAACTGCTCAAAGCCTGCTGTTATAACCACGTTCCGTGCATCTGATGACAGTTCCTGAGCTGCTAAAATGACGCTGTTCGGACTGGACCGCGTATGAATCTTGGGATCCTTCATTTCAACCTCTGCAGTAGAAGCCTCCCCCTCTTTGGTAGCATCAGCATCCCCCTCTTCAGTAGAAGCAGCCTCGTCTTCTTTGATAGCATCAGCATCCCCCTCTTCAGTAGAAGCAGCCTCGCCCATATTTGCAACCTCTAAATTCACCTCCTCTCCAGATCCCTCCCTCCCAGAAGGGCCCATTGATTCTCTGCACAATCCAAGATAAATGTCAAGACAGAAAGCAATAAGGATGAACTCGTGGATAAATGCATGAATACATGGATTTGAGTGACATTTGTGTATCTATTCTATACATACGTGAATACATGGATTTGAGAAGCTCAACATAAGTCCTTGTGTTTGTGCCAGTTCCTATTCAGATGCAAGCAAGTACTGACCAGCCGCCACAGACGAAGGAACACCAGGGGAAGAATAAATAGATAAAGGATAAACAGACGCCTAGACCCTGAACCCTAAGCCCGGATAACCACAGTCGAAGGATAACCAGGGGAAGGATAAATAGATAAGGATAAACAGACGCCATCCCCGATTATCCTCACATCAGACGCCTAGACCCTAAACACATCAGAAAAAGGATAAACACAGTCGAAGGATGAACACAGTCGAAGGATAAACCAAATCTTGACTTACCAAAGTGATCACAGTTTCCCGTGCGCTCGGGGAAGGAGAGCCGGAGGTAATCGTGGAGGAACGTCGGGGCACGGAGCGTCGGGTGAGGATCGTCGGGTGAGGCTTCTGGCAAGAAGGTGAGGAAGCAAAGAGGTCAGAAAGCTTCGAAATTTTGGGTGGGGAACTGGCGGTTTTGTTTAAATGGAATCGGAATGGTTTTCTGTTTCGCAAAAAAAAAACGACAATGTAAAAAAAACGCGTGTAAAAAAAAAAAGAACACTGCCGCAGCCGAGGCCCGTGCCCTCGCCGGTGGCCATCGGCCTGCTGCGCCGCCGCCGCCGCCGCCGGGCTTCCCTGCCTCCCCCGGCCCCCTTTCTAAGTCAGGCCATGAGCAGAGCACAGCACGGGAGCAACGAGGCGAGCGGCTGCTACGGCGTTGGCGCGCGGCTGCCAGCTAGGCACCTGTGGCGCGGGCTGGCCAAACGCGCGGCTGCGGCGGCGCAGCAGGCCGATGGCCACCGGCGAGGGCACGGGCCTCGGCTGCGGCAGTGTTCTTTTTTTTTTACACGCGTTTTTTTTTACATTGTCGTTTTTTTTTTGCGAAACAGAAAACCATTCCGATTCCATTTAAACAAAACCGCCAGTTCCCCACCCAAAATTTCGAAGCTTCCTCACCTCTTTGCTTCCTCACCTTCTTGCCAGAAGCCTCACCCGACGATCCTCACCCGACGCTCCGTGCCCCGACGTTCCTCCACGATTACCTCCGGCTCTCCTTCCCCGAGCGCACGGGAAACTGTGATCACTTTGGTAAGTCAAGATTTGGTTTATCCTTCGACTGTGTTTATCCTTTTTCTGATGTGTTTAGGGTCTAGGCGTCTGATGTGAGGATAATCGGGGATGGCGTCTGTTTATCCTTATCTATTTATCCTTCCCCTGGTTATCCTTCGACTGTGGTTATCCGGGCTTAGGGTTCAGGGTCTAGGCGTCTGTTTATCCTTTATCTATTTATTCTTCCCCTGGTGTTCCTTCGTCTGTGGCGGCTGGTCAGTACTTGCTTGCATCTGAATAGGAACTGGCACAAACACAAGGACTTATGTTGAGCTTCTCAAATCCATGTATTCACGTATGTATAGAATAGATACACAAATGTCACTCAAATCCATGTATTCATGCATTTATCCACGAGTTCATCCTTATTGCTTTCTGTCTTGACATTTATCTTGGATTGTGCAGAGAATCAATGGGCCCTTCTGGGAGGGAGGGATCTGGAGAGGAGGTGAATTTAGAGGTTGCAAATATGGGCGAGGCTGCTTCTACTGAAGAGGGGGATGCTGATGCTATCAAAGAAGACGAGGCTGCTTCTACTGAAGAGGGGGATGCTGATGCTACCAAAGAGGGGGAGGCTTCTACTGCAGAGGTTGAAATGAAGGATCCCAAGATTCATACGCGGTCCAGTCCGAACAGCGTCATTTTAGCAGCTCAGGAACTGTCATCAGATGCACGGAACGTGGTTATAACAGCAGGCTTTGAGCAGTTACTGTATATGTCCTTAGAGGGTTTTGGTAACAGAGAGATATTGAGGTTTCTTATGAACAATACACATACAGAACAAACATCTGAAGGTGTTGAGATTAAGATTGAAGGATCTAAGTTACCCCCCATCACGGAGAATGTGGTGGCACATGTTGTTGGTGTTCCTGAAGGTTCTGGTGAGAGCCTTGAATTTGAGCAGGACACTAAGAAGCAAGGAGAAATCAAGAAAGCTGTTCACAATTTGTTGAAGCTCCCTGACAGTGTTGATGATTGTGAGCCCATTGCAGATGAAAAGAAAAGGGATAGAAAACATAAAACTATTATGAATGGCAAGATTGGCGTTGATTATTTACGTGATGTGATGGAAGAAGCCAAGGAGACCAAAGATGTTGAGCTGGAAGTTAAGTGCTTCTTCTTCATCGCATTCCATACACTGCTGCTCCCAGAAAAGGATGGTTATCTCACTCTACACCAGATGCAAGCGGGTATGAACCTTGCAAGGATACAAAGAATTAATTGGCGCAAGGTTCTTCTCAACCATTTAAAAGATGGTGTTAAATCATGGTGGAAATCGCAAGCCAAATCAACCAAGCCTGGTGCCAAATCAACCAAGCCTGGTGGTGTCGCGTCTGTATACATAAGTGGTCCTGTGACTGTGCTTCTTGTAAGTATCTTTAAAACCATTATTTTTTCATCATTAATAGTAAATTTATCTAACGGTAAACTTATGCCTACAGTTATATTACTTGGACTTCCTAAAGTCAAAATCCGAAAGCGATGTCTCTCAGACGCCAAGAATTTGTTACTACGGCGAATCTATGGTGACCGATTTGGTGCAGGAAACTATGCAAAAGGATGGCAAGAGGTTTGACAACCTCAAGGTAAGAATCTGATTTTTAAGCATTATGCCATTGTTCCTGTAATGTTACAGTCAAACACACTTAATCCATGCCCCATTTTCAGTTTCGCACAACCGAAGAGACCTGTTATTCAAGAAGCTATAATGAATGTGAGAAGGTGAAGGTGCAGAAAGTGTCTGGAAAGCAGAAAGTATGTAAGAATATTGGTTCTAAATTCAACATATCATTGTTCCTATATAATACATACACTTGAATACACTATCCCTGCTCCTTTTCAGAAAAATAAGCGCACTCGTCTTGGCAAAAACAAAGGCGAAAAAGGGGATAAAGAAGAAAAGGGCACGCATGTCAACCCCGCGGTAAGAAGAAAGGAAGTTGTGAAAAGATATGGTGAGAGAGCTGAGAAAGACAGTGGTGCCAAGAACGACATGGTTGCGCACATTCCTGCATTAGAGGATTTTGTTAAATCTTCTTTGGAGCACATGCCTCGTTATCTGCACAGCGACGCTATCAAGATTGTAAAGCAAAATCATTCGTCGATTGTAGAGATGTATGAGAAGATCATGAAGACTCAGTCACAGATGCCCTCGAAAATGGAAAGCTTGGTAGACAGGTTAGTCTCTCATGAGCAATACCAGTTATATTTGGTCCTTAAAGTTCCAAAACCATTTTAGGCTCCTCTCTGATTTCTGTTGTTCAACCCACGAGCACACTTCCATCTCTCCAGTGCCATGTCTTGATTAGTTTCTTCAGTGGATAAGGAATAGGTCCTCCCAGAGCTTTGCCATATCGGGGGACTGATTGGAGAGAGAGTATGTTGGCTGGGTCTGGGTTGGCAAGAATGAAGTGTGGGGCAGTAGTGAGAATGGGTCAGATCTGACTAAGCATGCCGTGAGGGATTATCCTTTTCGTTTTTTTCCCCTTTACTATAACACAGTTTTCTTAATAAAGGCTTGGTTTTTTTTTCAGATATAAAGATTTGGATGAGTTCTATTCAAAACACATTATGTCAAAAGCCGATTGGGAACAGAAACATTTCGGCAATAAGGCTGCGGTGGATATTAATGGCATTACCATTGCAGAACATGATTTTGTAAAAAGCATGAAACTGAATGGATGGATAAGTAACTTCATTGTGGACGTGCAATGCTCCATATGGAGGGAGGAGGAAGAATGGAAAGACAAAATAATCCTTAGTCAATCTGCTGTGGTAAGTATCAATTTAAGCACATGTAATGTCTATACATGTTTTATATTGTCAACGTTCACCATATCTTCTATTGTGTCCAGAATGAACTGTTGGGTTTAACCCTAATCAGAGGCTATGTGGAAAAGGAGTTGTCTAACCTAGCCAAAAAGAAGCAGGTTTGTGCTTTTCTGCCATCCTGTTCCGTTTCTTGCATTAAGCCATGAATTAAACAAAGTTTATTTTTTTCCAGATATTTGTCCCTATCCTCATTCGAGCTTTGGATGGTTCTGGTTTACATTGGTACTTGCTCGTGGTGGACATTGAGAATGGAATAAGGTATATACTGGATTCCCTTCCATCACGGGGCACTAGAAGTGCGACGGAAACTGTGGTAAGATTAAGAAGATGACTTTTCAACTTATAAAATGTTCTACAAAGGGTGCATATGGAAGCTCACCTTATTGCATTCTTTCAGCTATCGGCGTTGGAAAAATATTTTGCGAAGGGGGGACATATTGATTTTTCTTCATTCAGCACTAAAACACCAAACCTTAAGAGCCAAACGAATGGGTAATTCTTCATCTTCACTTAGAGCTTATCTTTCCTCACTTAATAATTTTCATATGAAATTACCTTAGAAATTATCATATGATTCTGTTGTCAAGTTTTCCTATGCTGGGTTATCCTTCACTTATAACCGATGCTATCAGTTCCCTTGCATTAAATGGTCAATGATCGAAATTCTTAACTATGCAAATGATTATTGCAGATCCGATTGTGGATTCTATATGCTGCTGTATATGGAACGATTTGGTAGAATGAAAATAGATGACATCAATGAGGTTAGTGTAACGCCTTTTATTCAACTATTCAACTAACAGTTTTGGCTACTTTTAAAAGTCCTAGACAATTCATAACTCATGTTTGTTCCTTTTTTATGCCCAAAAAAATGCAGAATGATGTATTAATGTATCGCAAAAAACTTGTGAAGGACATATATGAGAATCCTAACAACAATCCTAAGGATGTAAGTGACGAGGTCATAGCTCAAGATGAATATCACATTTTGGACGACACCATATGTTTGTCACCACCCCCTTCAGATTTGCGAAATTCCCCTCCACGCCCAAATCTGACAGTATCCCCCATGAGTCATGAAGATGGGCGTAATGATGGCCCTCTGCCACCATCCTCACCAGGGACAAGCGATGGTAACAAGAATCTGGAAGATGCCCAACCCCAAGAGGAGGCTGACAGATCCAGTGTGGGAATAGCAGAAAATGCTGAGGCAGGCAACCAGGCGAATCATGCGAGGACAAGCGATGGTAACCAGAAGCTGGACGATGCCCAAGCTCAAGGGAAGGCCAACAGATCCAGTGAGGGAAGTTCCCTGGATACAAGAACAGACAATGAACGCTCAAGGACAAGCGATGATGAGGCTGGAGGCAACGAGGTGGATGAAGGTGAAAAAGGGGTGCCATCATCCCCACCACGCAGAGAACAAAATCCATCCCATGCCCTCGATAAAGACATAGTTTATTATTCTAGAAAGAAGAAAGAGAAGAAAAGGAAAGAGAAGAGCAGGTCAAGCTTGGATAATGACTTAATTCAACTGGGCAAGAGGTGCCGAATTGCAACTACCAGGACTGCTATAAAGACTACTAGACGCGAGTGGCCTGATGATGCGATAGTTAAAGAGGTTAGGACTGCTATAAAGACTACTAGACGCGAGTGGCCTGATGATGCGATAGTTAAAGAGGTTTATGAGCTTGCCACTGATTGGTATGTATCTCGAAACTTTATGATTATATAACTGTAAAACTTGCTATACTGATGTGTCATGTTTCCAATTGGAAAAGTAAGGAACAAGTAATATTGAATTTCGGAGCTATCGCAATGACTGGTTCTGAAATAGAACAGTCGTTCCAGAAAGTTGAGTGTGCCGGGGATATTATCTCATTATTTATTAAATACCTGGAGAACAATACGTATCCTGATGACAGCAGGATCTTTGTCCCACCACTATACAAGGTAAAAAAACATTGCTTTCCCAGCAAATTTAAGAACTATAACAGAATATCTTGTACTTAATTTTCCCCTAAGTGCAGGGCAAAGGAGGTATGAAGAAAAAGATTAAAGATGCACTCGGTGGATCCAACGAAAAGAAATCAGCAGTGGAGTTTCCTCATCGATTTGTAAGTTTGTGCATCAATACATGTTTTTTTTTTGGAACTGTTAATTTCCAAAAACCAAGATGTGTTACATACACATTGTTTTTGCAGATATACTGCCCTGTCTTATTCTCTGGTGAATGGATTGTGGTCTGTTTCCAACTGAAGAATATGAAACAGATCGGTATTCTTTGCAACAACGGTGGCGACGAAATTAAAAATTTCGCTTTGGATTTGGGAAAGAAATTAAACAAAGTCTTAGGAGACTGCAACTACAAAACAGTGTCATTTGATGAAAAATCTCTGTCATTTTTTCCGTCTTGTGTACAGCCCAATGACAGTGTGTTCGCAGCCATGTATTTTCTTGAACATTTCATAGGTGTGGCAGGAGTGCTCAACAAGCTGACTTGGGATGAAAAGGTCTGGTGACGGAACTTCCCTTTTAACCTGTTATGGAGTTCTGAAAATACTGTCTATAACTTCATTTGTCTCTGTTTTTTTTTCCAATTTGCAGATGCGGGATCAATACATTAAATCTTACAGTCGAGGGATTTTGACATGCCTTATCCAGCACAAGGAAAACACTGCAGATGTGCCTGATGGAATTTTAGCATTGTTCGAATAGCTATCTAGATGAATTTCTATCTTAGCACTTAGTATTTTGCTATGTGAACTGTGGTCTTTTTTGCCAACAATGTGTACAGCTATTTAACTGTTGGTATTTGTGGTAAATACTACCGTGAACCTGTGGGCTCTATTATTCGACTTGTGATGGCTTATATACTTATTATTATCATCGCTGTTGGTTCTTATATTACCTGACCTTGTGAGCTCTATTATGCGACCTGTGATGGCTTATATACTTATCATCGCTGTTGGGGCTTGTGAAGGATAACGGCAGACAAGGATAACTGGATGCGGATAACTGAAGACAAGGATAACTGGATCAAGGATAACTTGAGACGGATAAGTTGGATGTAGGATAACAAACAAGGATAACTATACCTGAGCTGAGAGCATTTTGCATTGTTTTTTGGCCTGTTTTGCTCTAAGCCCGCCAAAAGCTTAGACGCTAGTTTTATTAAACGATAGATAGAAAAAACTTGGTATACGAAAATTACAAAATGCGTGAAATTGTTTAGAAAGATAACAGAAAGTTTATGGCCAGAACCCTAAACAACCGGGCTACCAGCATCTGCATCTCTGATTCAGAGATAGGCAAATCCACTACGATTATGTTTCAGGAGGCAAAACCGACTTTCGCTTGGTCAATAGGAACGGTGATGGGACTCCCACTACGATTATGTTTCAGGAGGACTCCCACTTATCCTTCTAAGTTTACCAGATTTATCCTTGTGTAAGACACAGCCTTATCCTTTCGTAGGTTGGGAGATTTATCCTTGTCTAGTTACCCAAATTATCCTTCTAAGTTTACAAGATTTATCCTTCACGAGGACCTCTACTTATCCTTCTAAGTTACTAGATTTATCCTTTTGTAGGACACAGACTTATCCTTGGGTTGGTTGGCAGATTTATCCTTCCTTAGTGACCCGAATTATCCTTCGTCGACAGAGTTGGAAGATTACTATATTTATCCTTCTGCAGTCATTGAAATTATCCTTCTGTACGACTCCAACTTATCCTTCTGTAGGACTCCCACTTATTCCTTTCCTAGCACACAGACTTATCCTTGCGTAGATTATTAGATTTAGCCTTCTGCAGTGGCCCGAATTATCCTTCTTCGTCATAGTTGGAAATTTACTACGATTATCTTTCAGGAGGACTCCCACTTATCCTTCTAAGTTACTAGATTTATCCTTGTGTAGGACACAGACTTATCCTTCCGTAGGTTGGGAGATTTATCCTTGTCTAGTTACCCAGATTATCCTTCTAAGTTTACAAGAGTTATCCTTCACCAGGACCTCCACTTATCCTTCTAAGTTACTACATTTATCCTTGTGTAGGACACAGACTTATCCTTCCGTAGGTTGGGAGATTTATCCTTGTCTAGTTACCCAGATTATCCTTCTAAGTTTACAAGAGTTATCCTTCACCAGGACCTCCACTTATCCTTCTAAGTTACTAGATTTATCCTTGTGTAGGACACAGACTTATCCTTCCGTAGGTTGGGAGATTTATCCTTGTCTAGTTACCCAGATTATCCTTCTAAGTTTACAAGAGTTGTCCTTCACCAGGACCTCCACTTATCCTTCTAAGTTACTAGATTTATCCTTGTGTAGGACACAGACTTATCCTTCCGTAGGTTGGGAGATTTATCCTTGTCTAGTTACCCAGATTATCCTTCTAAGTTTACAAGAGTTATCCTTCACCAGGACCTCCACTTATCCTTCTAAGTTACTAGATTTATCCTTGTGTAGGACACAGACTTATCCTTCCGTAGGTTGGGAGATTTATCCTTGTCTAGTTACCCAGATTATCCTTCTAAGTTTACAAGAGTTATCCTTCACCAGGACCTCCACTTATCCTTCTAAGTTACTAGATTTATCCTTGTGTAGGACACAGACTTATCCTTCCGTAGGTTGGGAGATTTATCCTTGTCTAGTTACCCAGATTATCCTTCTAAGTTTACAAGAGTTATCCTTCACCAGGACCTCCACTTATCCTTCTAAGTTACTAGATTTATCCTTGTGTAGGACACAGACTTATCCTTCCGTAGGTTGGGAGATTTATCCTTGTCTAGTTACCCAGATTATCCTTCTAAGTTTACAAGAGTTATCCTTCACCAGGACCTCCACTTATCCTTCTAAGTTACTAGATTTATCCTTGTGTAGGACACAGACTTATCCTTCCGTAGGTTGGGAGATTTATCCTTGTCTAGTTACCCAGATTATCCTTCTAAGTTTACAAGAGTTGTCCTTCACCAGGACCTCCACTTATCCTTCTAAGTTACTAGATTTATCCTTGTGTAGGACACAGACTTATCCTTCCGTAGGTTGGGAGATTTATCCTTGTCTAGTTACCCAGATTATCCTTCTAAGTTTACAAGAGTTATCCTTCACCAGGACCTCCACTTATCCTTCTAAGTTACTACATTTATCCTTGTGTAGGACACAGACTTATCCTTCCGTAGGTTGGGAGATTTATCCTTGTCTAGTTACCCAGATTATCCTTCTAAGTTTACAAGAGTTATCCTTCACCAGGACCTCCACTTATCCTTCTAAGTTACTAGATTTATCCTTGTGTAGGACACAGACTTATCCTTCCGTAGGTTGGGAGATTTATCCTTCTCTAGTTACCCAGATTATCCTTCTAAGTTTACAAGAGTTATCCTTCACCAGGACCTCCACTTATCCTTCTAAGTTACTAGATTTATCCTTGTGTAGGACACAGACTTATCCTTCCGTAGGTTGGGAGATTTATCCTTCTCTAGTTACCCAGATTATCCTTCTAAGTTTACAAGAGTTATCCTTCACCAGGACCTCCACTTATCCTTCTAAGTTACTAGATTTATCCTTGTGTAGGACACAGACTTATCCTTCCGTAGGTTGGGAGATTTATCCTTGTCTAGTTACCCAGATTATCCTTCTAAGTTTACAAGAGTTGTCCTTCACCAGGACCTCCACTTATCCTTCTAAGTTACTAGATTTATCCTTGTGTAGGACACAGACTTATCCTTCCGTAGGTTGGGAGATTTATCCTTGTCTAGTTACCCAGATTATCCTTCTAAGTTTACAAGAGTTATCCTTCACCAGGACCTCCACTTATCCTTCTAAGTTACTAGATTTATCCTTTTGTAGGACACAGACTTATCCTTCCGTAGGTTGGGAGATTTATCCTTGTCTAGTTACCCAGATTATCCTTCTAAGTTTACAAGAGTTATCCTTCACCAGGACCTCCACTTATCCTTCTAAGTTACTACATTTATCCTTGTGTAGGACACAGACTTATCCTTCCGTAGGTTGGGAGATTTATCCTTGTCTAGTTACCCAGATTATCCTTCTAAGTTTACAAGAGTTATCCTTCACCAGGACCTCCACTTATCCTTCTAAGTTACTAGATTTATCCTTGTGTAGGACACAGACTTATCCTTCCGTAGGTTGGGAGATTTATCCTTGTCTAGTTACCCAGATTATCCTTCTAAGTTTACAAGAGTTGTCCTTCACCAGGACCTCCACTTATCCTTCTAAGTTACTAGATTTATCCTTGTGTAGGACACAGACTTATCCTTCCGTAGGTTGGGAGATTTATCCTTGTCTAGTTACCCAGATTATCCTTCTAAGTTTACAAGAGTTATCCTTCACCAGGACCTCCACTTATCCTTCTAAGTTACTAGATTTATCCTTGTGTAGGACACAGACTTATCCTTCCATAGGTTGGGAGATTTATCCTTGTCTAGTTACCCAGATTATCCTTCTAAGTTTACAAGAGTTATCATTCACCAGGACCTCCACTTATCCTTCTAAGTTACTAGATTTATCCTTGTGTAGGACACAGACTTATCCTTCCGTAGGTTGGGAGATTTATCCTTGTCTAGTTACCCAGATTATCCTTCTAAGTTTACAAGAGTTATCATTCACCAGGACCTCCACTTATCCTTCTAAGTTACTAGATTTATCCTTGTGTAGGACACAGACTTATCCTTCCGTAGGTTGGGAGATTTATCCTTGTCTAGTTACCCAGATTATCCTTCTAAGTTTACAAGAGTTGTCCTTCACCAGGACCTCCACTTATCCTTCTAAGTTACTAGATTTATCCTTGTGTAGGACACAGACTTATCCTTCCGTAGGTTGGGAGATTTATCCTTGTCTAGTTACCCAGATTATCCTTCTAAGTTTACAAGAGTTATCCTTCACCAGGACCTCCACTTATCCTTCTAAGTTACTAGATTTATCCTTTTGTAGGACACAGACTTATCCTTCCGTAGGTTGGGAGATTTATCCTTGTCTAGTTACCCAGATTATCCTTCTAAGTTTACAAGAGTTATCCTTCACCAGGACCTCCACTTATCCTTCTAAGTTACTAGATTTATCCTTTTGTAGGACAGAGACTTATCATTGAAGGATTCTCTAAGATAGCCCGACCCATGACGGAACTACTCAAGAAGGAGAAGAAGTTTACTTGGACTGAGGCTTGTGAGAGAAGCTTCCAGGAACTAAAAAGAAGACTGACCACTGCCCCAGTACTGACATTACCCGATATTCAACGGGACTTCATCATTTATTGTGATGCATCCCGCCAAGGACTAGGATGCGTCCTTATGCAGGATGGAAAAGTAGTGGCTTATGCTTCCCGACAGCTTAAGCCTCACGAGTAGAATTATCCAACCCATGATTTGGAATTTGCAGCTGTAGTGCATGCACTTAAAATTTGGAGACACTACTTGATCGGCAATAAATGTGAGATTTATACGGACCATAAGAGCCTGAAATACATCTTCACCCAACCAGATTTGAACTTAAGGCAAAGGAGGTGGTTAGAACTGGTCAAGGATTATAATGTGGAAATACATTACCACCCTGGTAAAGCTAATGTGGTAGCAGATGCCTTAAGTCGAAAGCCCTTTGGGCCTAAGGATGCCCATCTACAGGAAGAAATGGCACGATTGAATGTGCACATCATCCCTCAAAGTTCCAGCCATAAGCTGAGTGTTCGACCCACTCTGGAGGATCATATCAGAAAAGCCCAAAGTTCGGATAAGGATCTAATGAAAATCCGAACATATACTGGAGAAGATAAAGCACCGGACTTTAGAGTGGACGATAAGGATACCCTATGGCATAAAGAT